GGGTAGAGCTTCTTTCCAGCTGATCAGCCCCTCCCCAACATGCACTGGTGTCTGGGGCTATTCTTCCTCAGGTGCAGGACATGGCATTTCCTTTTGTTGAACTTTGAGATTCTTCTCTACCAGTTTCTTCAGCCTCTCCAGGCTCCTCTGAAAATTCAAAGATCTGATTATTCTAACAATTCAAAGAGACTTCTAAGTTTTTTTAATGATGGAGTTGAGGTATTACTTTTCATGTGTGTTTGAAAATAAGATTAAAAAAGTAGCTTCTCACTTATAGTACTTAACCAATCTCTAGCAGTATTGATAGTTGATCACAGAGATCGCTCTCCCATCACAGGGCATTATGAAAAATAATGAATACATGAAAACAAAGATCAGTCATGTTTGTTGATTTAAGTTGTGGAGGGAAACTTTACTATGATAGAAATAATTAGGAAAATGGCTACAATGCAAGGAACTAAAATATGGATAGAGTTACAGATCTTAAGACTTTGGTCTCCCCAAAAAAGGAAAAGTAGTGAAGACTTTAAACTTGGGCAACTGCCAGTTAGTCCAAGGAATGCAAATTTTGTATGTTAGTAATACCCATTAAGATTTTTTAGTTCTTTGAATACTAGATAAATATTAAATAAGTGTCTCAATACCAAAGTTTAAGCTGGATTTAATACATTTGTATTTATCATATGCTTCCACTAGATGATACTATGTCATAATGAAATGTGTATAACGTAAAAAAAAGATGCTGTAACTGTAATCTGATAGTGTAGATCATACACTATATTTTTTACTTGATATCACTTACGAATCCTGAGATGATATGTTTAGTTGAAGTTGCTTGCTGCAATATACTTTAAATATCTGAACAGTAAATTTTGCTGTAAAACTTCTTATAATAATTTCATACATCTCAATAAAAGTAGCATGATGTAATTATAGTGAGTTTTTTAGATTAAGGGATGTAGTTACAGAGTGAGGCAATACAGCATAGTTATGCAAGGACTGACAGTCTGAGGCATTACAACTTTTGAAATAGGTATAGACCAAAATGTGGGAAAAAATCCAATGAATATGGGACTGCTAAAGTAAAACTGAAGAAAACCACTACATTTTGGAGGAATCTAATGAAAGAAGTTAGCATAAGAGCCTGAGAAATCAAATGCTAATAGATTGTGTAGTTAATGTGTATGTTAAGATGAACTTTTATGTTACTGCGTTCTGTATTTTTAGAAAATCTGAAAGGGAAGTAAAGCAAAAGGCTGTTGCAGAAATCTTTCTGTACATTTCTTCATAAAGAAGCTTAGAGGAGTTTCCATACTGGAATCCTACTTCATAACGTTCATTCTGGAGGTTCTCTCTAAAGCTAAAGTAGTACTAGGAAAGTTGTGGTGTTTTTTGACAAAATGACATGAACAATAAGATTGCTGAGACTTTATTTTTTATCCATGGTTTTGTACATGATCGTGTCTTGTTAAGGCATGTAATTGTATGTATAACCTTAGAGTGTACCTACATTAGTACTTAAAACTGTTTTGACAACAGTGGTGAGGAAAATGAAAAGTACATAGCTTTTGAATTATTTTGCCTATTGAAGAAAAAAAATGTTGTGGCTGATGCAGAAGCCCCCAGCCCAGCAGCAGAACAAGTGAGTCCACAAGTGTTAATGATAGGGAAGAGGTAACACGTAGTGTGGGAGAAAACCTTGCTTTGGAGACCTAGTGGAGTTCGTTGAAGTAAATGCTGAGTATGAGGATAACAAAAAGCTTCTTATAAGGCTTTTAAGCTTTTTTTAGAACTAAACTGCTTTTGGCTAGGCTTGTTTTGTGGATGGATGAATTAATGAAATGAGAGCTGGTCATCAGTTTATTCAAAACAGAGAGATCAGTAACCGAGTCTAACAAGTTTGTGCTGTCTCACAGTCAGATGTCATCTAAAATGGTGAATATTGATTAATGATGACAGAATAGTAATAAAAATTAAAGCTACAGTAAATCACAGAAGAAATTAATATTTACTGGTGCATGAGTATGGTAGGTAAAATTCAGCATTGATGAATGTTAGATATTAGGAAGAAATTAGTGTGAGGGTGGTGCAATGCTGAAACAAGTTGTCCAGGGAAGCTGTGGATGCCTGCTCCCTGGGAAGTGTTGGTACCATTTAATGGTACCATTTAAAATAGCCGTGCTTCTATTTTTTGCTTTGTACTGATGTGTGGAATAATGAAACAATCCCATCCTTTTTACTCCTTATGTGCTAGTCCCCTTCATCAGTACTGGGGCAGCTTGTAGCATTCATAGGTCCTTCTAATTTCGCTAATATAAGTGAAATAAAAAGGTTACTCCATGTTTTATGTTATGCACTTATCAGTTATTCACAATTATCTAAAATAACCTTGTGCTTACTCTTGTAATCGCAGTCCACCATTAAAATAATATTATACCATTGTTACTTCAGAAGCATACTTCAGTTGAGGAATTTAATTATTTTAAGAGTTAAGGATTTACTTTTCTTTAATGAAAGTTTTAAACTAGGATAGTGTCTTCTCTGGCTGTTGTTGCAAAGAGAAGCTGATTGTTGAAAAGCCTTTTCAGTAAACTTTTGGCACACAGTTTCCTTAGATGTTGTTTGATATTGAAGTGTAATTTGAAATGTGTAAGAGATCAATAGCTTGAATCTTTATTTCAAATTTTTATTGTTAAGTGTTTTCTTTGAAAGAGTTCTGAAGAGTGATGTTTTCATGGTGAGTTTTGAGTTAAACAGTATTGGAATTTGCTTTTGCCTGTTAAAAATGAATTTGTATACTATTTTTAATCTTTATTTTAGAGCTTTTAACAAGAAACAAAACACTCAACATGCCTGACATCAATGAAACCATGACATGTTCTGTACTTACTTCTTTCTGCATAGACTTATTTTAATATTTTGAAAGAAAAAGTATGATACAAAACTCAAATTGATGTTATAAAATCATAAAGATTCCCATTTGCCCTATATTGTATTTGATCTTTAAAATATCCTCTTCTCTAGAGAAAAAGACTGAATTTTGACATTTGAAGCAAAACCTGAAATGAATTGCACTGTCCCGAAGCAATACAGGGTTTTGAGGATTTTTTTGTGCTTCTCCTTCATGTAAGGAGGTTTTCTGTTAGATGGAAAAAGTGATTGACTCAACAGATTAGAAGGCATAAGTGCAGAGTGGACCTCAAACGTGGACAGTCCATCATCATCCCTCATCTGCTTTTAAAATTCCCTGGATGTGATCTGGCAGCCTCGTAGATGTTCTTTGCTTACTGCTTCTCACAGCACGGGACTCAATGCATAGAGCTGCCCGTGCACTTGTACTGCTGCTGTACAAGCCGTTATCAGGGTTTTTCTGATGAATTTACCAAAACAGTGATTTTTATTTTAATTCTTTAGCAAATTTCCTGGATAGTTACTATGTACCTTTGGGAAACATGTCTTTTAATAGGTTACAAAGTATTTCTCACAAAGTTGCTTTTGCCCTGTGTAGCTCTGTTTTTACATCTGTCTTGAATATAAATTATTCTTGGCCTCTTACTTATATTACTGACCCACTAAGTGTTTCTTTGTTGCCATTTGCTTTCCATCATTAGTGAAAGTCCAAAAAGATGATCCTTTAATACACTCAAGATGCAAAAGCTGACTTTATTTGAAGTGCCATAAAAATATTATGATGTTTTTTTTGACTTCTGTAATTTCCATTGTAATTTTTCTTAGTTCAAGCTAAGCCACGGTGTGGAGATGTAACTTAAAACAGGAATGTTTTTATGAAATTAACAAATTTAATAACATCCAGCACTTAGAGTAATTTTAATGATCCTTGTCTTACTTCCTTAGCCCTGTTTTCAAATTTTAGCATGATTTTACTGATTATTTTCATATCTGAAGTAATTTCTAGCTCACATACTTCAAAAGTGAGATAGAATAAATGGTTTTGCTTTTTTTACAGCTTAAAATCTCCTATGGACTAAGGGATCAGAAATGATGAGATTAAAGATATGTCTGGTCTAGTATCTCACTCCCAACAGATCAATAACAGATAGCTTAGATATGTAGCTAGCAGTTGGGGAAATAATTAGCAGTACTACCTGGGAGCTTTGTTAAGCTCCATTAATTTGTGTTTTATGACCTTCCTCTTTATTTTTGCAGTTGTCACTTAAACATTGCCTAGTTACAAAAGGAGACTCCCTAATGCTATTTAATTCTTTGTGATAAAATTCCCTGTAATTTTTGATCTTTCATATCTGTAGTTTTCAAAAAGAAATACCTGGTTTAGTTTTTCTCTGACCAGATGGAATCCTCTGAAGAATTAAGTATACCCGTTGTAGAATTTGCTGAGAGTCAGGAATTTTGTGGCACTTCACAAGACCTTAAAACTGTTGTCTTCATTGCTACTGTTGTATTTTTCTGTTAGTCTTTCGGTGGTAGTAGTGCCAGATGGGCTGGTGGCTGTTCTTTCCTAGATTTAAGTTAGAATGTATAAAGCAAATATATTGTTCCTAAAAATTCCCTCTGAATTCAGTGAAAAAAAAGTAGAAGTTGACTTTTGAAATTGAATCACCATCATAGTCCTGTTTGCCAGTTGCCACTTCATGTTCAAGTGCCTACTGTGTTATATGTTGTGACTTTTTAACAATAATGAGCTTCATAAGAAATGGCACTCGTTCTTTTTATGTTTGGGAATATTTTTTTAATGTAAATGTGGAGCTAATCAAGGTAATTAATTCATAGAAGTATATTTGTTTTGGGAAATTTAAGTTTTGAAGAGTCCAGAGAAAGTGGAGGAGTAACAGCTGTTTCCTTTAACTAACTGAATCATTAAATAAATGTAAGTTACTAGTGTGGAATATTGATAGGGACAACTGTTTTTATCTTGTCTCTACAGTTAGCAGTGTGTGTAATTATTTTTCCAAACACTTAATTTTACTTGTTGTGTTTTGTTTTGTTGTTTGTTTTGTTTGTTTGTTTGTTTGTTTTCCCAGGATGGATTAGATGCTTTGGTATATGACTTGGATTTTCCTGCCTTAAGAAAAAACAAAAATATTGATAACTTCTTAAACAGGTGTAAGTATTTAATGTTTCAGTTACTAAGTAACAAAAAGCTGTAAATACAAGCAAATGTGAAAAATAAAAGTGGTTCTAGCTTTTTTAATGGCAACAAGGGTTTGGGGTGTATTAATTTCTTGGGTGCATGTTGATTTAGGAGTCTGATTCTGTATTTATTTCCCAGTGAGAACTGACAGCTACTTTTACAAATATGATACCCAGCAATTGAATGTACAAGTTTGTTGCCACTGTAAATGGCACAAAGTGGCACAAAGCTTTTTAAGAGAAAGGCCTGTTATTTTTGTTCTTGGCAACCCTCTAGATTCCCATGACTTACTTTATAATTTCTTTTACTAATATGTCATAAACAAATTAACAGTAAAATTAAATTACATCTATACACGGTGAAGAAATCATATTAAAAATTAGTTCACTGATGGACTAGAACATGTGTTTTGTAGACTATTTTTTTAGTATAATTGTTATCCCATTAAGTTTTTGCACTGTGTAGCTGCTGTATTTACTTATGCATACAGCTGATGTGTTTGCAGAATTCTCTTTATTTACTTATATTTTTTCACGATAAAATTTTCTGCACTTTGTACTCTGTAATAAATAGCATTTTAAATGAACAAAGTTGATTTTTTTCTTTTTATACAAGTCATGGATCCATAATATTAATAATTTAAAAAAAACAAACAACCCATCCACAAAGGCATTTTAGAGTTAAGTCTTTTCTGAAGGCTGCCAGACTGACAAATTTTGGAAATCGTGGCAGAATGGTTTCCTGATGCAGGACTTGCTTGCTTGTCTTTCTGTGGACTGAATGGGCAAGCTTTGAAATTAAGCGCATGTTGTTACACTTTTACTGGCTTAAGCATCTCAATTAAATGTTGCATTTATTGGCTTTTTTGGCCAATAGAAAGTAATTTTACTATAATAATTTTTGCCTTTGCGTCATCAAAATCATGGGTCTGATTCTGTTATCAAATAGTTTGCTTGGTGCAATTGTAAGCAATGATAGTGAGGTTTTGGGTGTTCTTCTGTTACTCCCCATTTGTGGGAATATGAGTCCACTAGATATAGCTGATAGCTCACTTGCATGTAAGGAGATTGCTGAAAGGCCCAAGTTCAAATGTTCTGTTTAACTTTTCACGGTTCAAACTATATTTGATATACACTGTATTACATGCACATTTTGTATACTCAGTTATTTACAGAGAAGGTGTGGTGAAACTCTGGGAGAAAAGAGAAGTTATATTAGGCAGAGGAAATACTCATTGCAACAGATAATTTTAATGTAATTTTTATGAATAGTGAAATCATTAGTGAGTCTCGGAGAGCTTCACTTTTGCTGTTGGGGCTGAGTGATGGAAAACTTATGTTTACAGTCTGATAATGAATATCTTGTAGGTATAAATTACAAATACCATAAGAACTAACCTGAAGTAATGTGGAGGTGGAGAACAGCATGTATTACTTCACTTCAAACTGCCTTTTGAACAATAGGCTTGCTTTGTTAGCTGGCATATGAAAGCAAGCTGTGGATGTGTGAGTACTGGCCTTAGAAGTAACTGTGTAGTCTAGTTTGTCTGAAAATTCTCTTTAAAAAAAGGTATACAGGAACATTGTAATGTTTATTTTAGTTCTAATAGAAAACTGTTTAAAATATTTTTTTGCAGTATTAGCTGTCCAAACAGTTTGCAACATTATTCCTGAGCTTTAAAATACATTTCTAGACTGCCAGTAAAATGGGAGTCTGCTTCCTTTTCTTTTTTTTTTTTTTACTTTTTAATAGACTGACTGCCCTATGAGTAAGTCAGTCATATCCTGGCTTATTTTTCTCTGGTTTACATTGTATATTTGTGGAGCCTCCAAAATCTGCTCTTAGCAGCTGAGGTTGTGAGGGTTATTTTTGCAAATGTAGTACCTAATTAATTTTCAACCATATAGAATTAAAAGGATAAAGAAATCAATATTCAGGATGGTTGAGAGCTCTACTTTGTAGCAGAGACTCAGTTTATTTCAAGATGGCATGTAAGCTTATAATAAAACTTCAGGGCAATTTGGTGAATGTAGTGTTTTGCCATGTGAGCTACCCCACCTGTTCACACAGTGTAAGCTGGACTGGTCCTCCACTGTTAATGAGAGATAAGAAACTGCCTGTTTAAATATATTGCAGCCTGATAAACCATGTTTGACAGATTTTAGCATACAGAGGTCAAACTTCCAACACTGTTGTTACTGTGACATATTGTCTAAAGATAATCAAGTATTAATATGTCTCTCAAGAAGAAAATTGCAATTTGCAATTGGTTACAAGTTTGGTTTGCATTATTTAAAAATCTTTAGTCTAGATTGCTGCTCAGATGTACTTTCCTTGATTTTGTTCTGGCCACAGGCAATGCTTGTGTTTAAAAAACATTTAAAGCCTTCATATTGTACCTAGCTTTCTTTTGCACCAGTGTCAACATTTTTTCATTCAGAAGTGCTGGGCCACCTGTTGCAAGGTTAGTAGGCACCAAGTTGACAATAACTAGAAAATTGTTGTCATGAGCGTTGCTGCATTTTAGTTCCCTGAAGTCTTACTCATCCTCCACAGTTTTCACTGCGGCAAATAAGGCAATGCATTGTTTTTTAAAATTACTGAACGTTTAGATCCTTGTGTGAAATTATGTTAGAATTTACAATTTAAATATGGAAAACTTATGGAAATCAGCTAGTGGCATGCTGCATTGTAAAGGAATGGCTTTACATTAGTAATACCACAGGGCATCTAGACAAACCAAGTTGTTTGTCCCTGTTGGGGTAATAAAACCTTACCAAATTTTAAATGTACCTATGCTGCTTTTGTTTCAGATAATGGCCAGTGTATATAGAAATCTAATGGTAGTTTTCTGTCATCTGCCTTATCATTTTTTTTAAATATGAATTTTAAAAATGACATTTCTCCTCCTTTCTCTTTTCCTGTCATTACTTCTTTCTAAACTTTGTTTTTAGGCCTAAAATATTATTTTTGAAAATAAAATAGCATTGCATAATTTATTTTATTAGAAGCATATCCGTTTTAGTAGATGTTCCTTTGCTTTTAAAAATGCTGAAGCATGAAGCTTTTCCATGTAATCTCATGCCAGTGTTGACCCATATGGATTAAAATAGACTGTTTTAATCTTTGACCAAATTTGGAATTAAACAGTCTACCCACTGGGAGTTTGTAAATTATTGTCATTTATAGAATGACAGGTTTATATAAATAATTGCAATCATTCCCATTGCATACTTTAAATTAAAATATACTTGTTTGAGTATTAGAAGTTATAAAAGTGTAGAAAATTGAAAGCTTATTTAAAGAAAAAAGTTTCTTCAAGTGTCTTGTATATGTACTTTATGGTATTTTCTCAGATGTGTTGCATATTTATCCAGAAATTATCTTTTTACTGATCATCTGACTAGAAAGATCACGCTGGATATGAAATTTTTTGCGTAGCTTTTTTTTTTTTGCAGGTAATTATTTGTAAAGAAATTCCCAAATTAAGAACTCCAGTAATTTGATTGTACAGTAGAGTAATTGCATTATGTTTGTTGGGTTTTGGTTACTATGGTATTAGGGAACAAGGTCATGCATTCTGCAGAGAAGTTTCCAGTGAGAAGGTGGGTTCAAAAGGAAGTCCCTTCTTTAAGCACCACATCTTCTAGTAACTATGAAAAATTGAAATGAGATTAATAGGTTTTATTTAAATTGATTATATATGAAATGTGAATTTTGTTTTATGTAGATAAAGACACAGTAAATAAAATGAGAGATCTGCGCATGAAAGCTGAAGATTATGAAGTGGTAAAGGTGATCGGTAGAGGGGCATTTGGGGAGGTTCAGCTGGTAAGTTATGTTTTTATTTGTACATTTGAATGTATTCTGTAATGTTTGCTCATATGTTATGAAATACATTGTTCAGAAGATGCAGGTATATAGTATTAAAACCTTTATAGCTTGGTGAAATTTAATTTATTTTTATTCCATGGAAATATTTTCAAGAACGTCTTATTTCACTACTCTCAATGTGCATGAGTACTAGTTTTGCATTGTAGTCATGCGTATCTATTAAAATAAAATTGTATGTATATTCTTCATAATCAAGAAAATTAGGCTTTGCCCCTGTATATATTGGACATGTGAACAAAGCTTCAGGACTAGAAGAATTTCTCTCAGTTCAGGGACTACACCAGGTTTTTGTGGACGTAGTTGTCAGAGATGAGAGATGTTGTGCATTGTTTGCAATAGATTAACAACCAGACTTGTTCACACTGCTTTATTAAATTAGAGAACTGGTGGCAGAGACTGGAAATACAGCAGCAAGTATACACGTCTGGTAGTGAACTGTGGAAAATGCTTAAAGTTTTAGCTTTATAGTGTTTAACAGGTGCTAATATTTGTCCTTTTAAAGGCCTACAAACTGTGAAGCAACTGTTATACCTATGGACTTCTGTGTTGAATAGTTCTAGCAAGTATTTCAAGAGCAATGCATATATTGTCATAAAATGGAATGTAATTATTCTGTAGATCTATATTACATCATTATTTATAAAAATGTGAATACTCTTATAAAACTTGTTAAATAGTAAAGCAGGAAAAATAATATATTCAGTGGTGTCCTTCATATGTTAATGTGGCAAACTAATGTGTTCTGTTGTTCTTCATAGGTGAGGCATAAATCCTCAAGGAGAGTGTATGCTATGAAGCTTCTAAGCAAATTTGAGATGATAAAAAGATCGGATTCTGCGTTCTTCTGGGAAGAAAGGGATATTATGGCTTTTGCTAATAGTCCCTGGGTTGTTCAGGTACAGTGATAATCTTTTTAAAATATTGTCATTCTAGAATAGTTGCATTACAACACTGCATGACATGGAATTACATGTTTTCATGTTTCGCTTTTTTTAAGGCACTTTCTGGTTGTTTTGATCTGTTAGGGAAATACATTATTAACATTAGGAACATACACAAGAAATAGCAGATATTGCTCTTGCTTCAAAATTGTATTTTGTCAGAACATTTACAAGATAAGCTGTTCTGTGTATTATTAAAACTTTGCCAGATGCCTATTGGTGACCCTGCTTTGTAGTAATTTGTTGAGACATCAAGCATACCAGAAAGATATGTTTAAGACACAACTTCTGTATTTTCTAATTTCTGACTTTATATTTCACTGCAAATTACACCCACTCTGGTTATTTTTTCCTCATTTCACTGTTATTAGTGGCAATTTTTTAGAAGGCACTGCTGCCTTTGAAGTTACAAGGAACACAGCTGACACAATGATCATATGTTGTGTGTGCACATGTTAACTTGTATATGTGAACTGTTCTTACCCTTAAGCATGTTAACTTTTTTTGTAAGGTTACAGTTAAACAAAATCATTCAAGACTTATCAAGGTCAAATGGATAACTATGTTACTATTCCTCTAGTAGTGATTGGCCAGAGTAGTACTTTTCGGATCTTCAGAAAGTTTTGAATTAGGAAACTTAAATCTGCTTGCACTACTCATGTTGAACAGAACATTCACAACTGTATGGGAAATATTTCTACTTCATTATTTAAAATGTAGGCTCACTTTCTATACAATAATAGATTGACCAAATAATAATAAATATTTAGTGATAACACAAATGGAATTGGGCAGATGTTTGCAATACAGTAGTTTCTTGTTTACGTATTTGTGAACAAGCATCCCAGTGAAAAAGGACGCATTTTGTTGTGTTATGCAATGAGCATTCTTTTAAATGATCTTAAAATATATTACACCAAATTTACTAATCTTGATTTGTAATCAAGACTCTGCTCCTTTCATTATATTATAAAGGAATGGAAAATCCAGCTGTAACTTACTCTAAAGGTTAATTCCTTTTTTGGCAGTCTGCTGGATAGTGCAAGTTTGCTGCAGTAGTTGTAACAATTCTGTTACTCTTTAATTTGCACTGAAATTTCTTCGATTTCCAACACGCAAAAGAATAAAGATAACCAGAACATTCAGTGACCTTTTTTTGTTTATTTGCTTTTTACAGTTATTTTATGCGTTCCAAGATGACCGTTACCTTTACATGGTGATGGAATATATGCCTGGTGGGGACCTTGTGAATTTAATGAGCAACTATGATGTTCCGGAGAAATGGGCAAGATTTTATACTGCTGAAGTTGTACTTGCATTAGATGCAATTCACTCAATGGGTTTTATACACAGGTATAAAAAAATTAATAATAAAAAATCTTGTATAGTGTTGTTTTATTCTTGGTGTTGCCAGAATGACTTCATTTATTGTCTAGGCAGTTTTTGAAAAGTGTGATGTTACAGAATCACAGAATGTGTTGGGTTGGAAGGGAGCTTCAAAGGTGATCTAGTCCAACCCACCTGCAGTGTGCAGGGACATTTTTAACTATATCAGTTTGCTTAGAGCCCTGTCAAGCCTGACCTTGAATGTCTCCATGGCTGGGGCCTCCACAACCTCTGGACAGCCACTTCTTGTGGTTTACCACCTTCATAGTAAAGAACTTCTTCCTCATATCTAATCTAAATCTACCCTACTCTAGTTTAAGGCTGTTGTCCCTAATCTTATTGCTGCACGCTCTTGTAAACAGTCTCTCCCCAGCTTTCCTGTAGGCACCTTCAGGTAGTGGAAGGCCACTGCAAGGTCTCCCTGGAGTCTTCTTCTCAAGGCTGAACAATCTCAGCTCTCTCAGCCTGTCTTCATAGGACATGTTCTCCAGAAGGACAGTGTTTTCAACAGAAAATACAGGAAGAGTTTGAGGAAGACATAGTATATAAATTATGAATTTGTAATTTGGCCAGAAGATGAGTGTCAACACATAAGTTTTTGAAAAAAAGCCAGAGCAGTGCAAAACAAACTACTAATCCAATGTTGGCTTGAGTAGGATTTGGAGCATTGTTAATTATGTAGCTATGCTACATTTAATAGATAAATTATTATCTGGCTGAATGAACTATTTGTATGTGTGTATTGCAAGCTTTATAAAGAAGATGTTAGAAGTTGCAAGCAGTGCTCAGCAAGTTTTTTTCTTGAAAATGTAGATTATTTTGACACCAGCAGATATTTTTGAATTTGCTTTCTGCTGGAGTTAGTCTGCTTAAATCTGAGGAATGAAAGGAAACTGATGAAAACATGAGACTTCATTGACAAGGTCTGCTTTCAGCCCTCTTAGATCCCTGTGCCTGATGACAGAGCTTGAGAGAGTCCAGCATTACTTTGGCAGAGGAAGGTCAAGCTAAGTCTGAGTTACACAAACTGGGCATACACGTCCAAGGCACCAGGTGGGGATCTGCCAAGGGTTGTGACTGAGCTGGCTAGTATCCTTGTGATACTGCTCTCTGCCACCTTTGAAACGTTGCAGCAATTCAGAGATTCCTCATGACTGGGAAGAAGAAAATGACACCTTGCTTCAAGAAGGGCAAGGAGTAGAAGATTAGGGTAACTGGCGGCTGATCAGCCTAAGGGCAGTTTTTGGGAATCTTATGGACTAAATTCCCAGGAAACCATTTTCAAGCACATGGTTGGGAAGGTGCTTGGCAACAGTCTATGGATTTTCAAAGGGTAAAACATGCCTTACCAACCCAATTGCCTTCTGGGGTGAGATGATGGCTCCTGTGATGAGGGGAGAGCAGTATGTGTTGTTTGTCTTGACTTTAGCCAGGTTTTTGATGTGGCCAGAATGGAAAGATACAGTTTGAACAGGTAACACAAGGGGCTGTGCTCAGTAGTACAATGTCCAGCCAACAGCTACCAGCAATTCCTCAGAGGGTTGATACTGCACTCAGTGCTGTGTTTTCATTTACAACCTGAACAGTGTTCAGGTGAGACAAAAAGCACCAATCATCCTCTAAACTTTGTAGTAAAGGTGGAGCCAGACGTGGAGGTGCACACTGAAAAGATGAAAGGCAATGGATGACACAGGTTGCGGAAGGAGTATCTAGCTGTTCATTAGGAATTTTTTTCACTATGAGGGCAGTCAAACAATGGAATAGAGTTCTAGAGAGGTTGTGGTGTCTCCAACTTTGAAAAAAAAACCCTCAAAATTTGTCTGGGTTTTACTCTGAACCTAATATGACTTGCAAGTTGAACGTAACTTCATTAGCTGTAGTTTGATCAGGCAGTTGAACCAGACGGTCTTAAAAAAACCCTTCCTAACTAAAATTATTCTGTAAGTATACTGCTACATACCCACTACACTGCTTTTGACAGTTGTGGCCAGAGTTCTCCTTTTACGTTCCAGAATTATATTTTCTTCTGAAATTCATGTTATGCTTTGTTCATAACTGTTTCCTACTGTTGTACTGCTTCCATATGTTTAATAACATTGATGAGCTGAATTTTACTAGTTACTTTATGAAAACTGTAACAGAAGTACTTTATGGAAAAGGATATAAGGCAGCACTCCTTTTGAGCCACAGTCACATTAATATAATTATGAAAATTACATCAATTTGTTCCTTTAAATAGGAGTGGTATGGAGAAGAAACTGTTCTCAAACTATGTTTGAAATAGCTAACTCAGTACCAGAATGCATTTTTTTTCTGTAGCTGGAGAGGTACTTAAACCAGTGAGTGATTTTAGGAACTTGAGGTTTAATATTAATGTCCAAACTTGTTAAATTTGGTGACTTAAGATTGTGTTCCCACATCTTTTATAATTTTTTTCAAATGTTGTTTAGCAGTCTATTGGATGTGATACTACTTAGAGAAAGCAGAAAAAAAATTGAGGAAATAGTTGTCCTTTCATGGTTTTGTTCTTAATGGAATGTTGCATCTGAAAAATAGTTGACTATCATTGTTTTTGTAAGTTAAATTGATATATTCACTTTTAAAAAAGTTATTTTTCTCCTTTCAGAGATGTGAAGCCTGATAATATGCTGCTAGATAAAGCTGGTCATTTAAAACTAGCAGATTTTGGTACTTGTATGAAGATGAACAAGGTAAACATATGTTTTTAATTTTGCTTTTCTGTTTGTGAAAGGAAAACATACTTTTAAAGTGAAAAGAAAAGACACTGCAAAGTTTTTAGCTGGATGAGAGGAAATGGAAGTTCCACTCTGTTCCCGTTACTATTCTTTATGAGTCCTATTGAATGGCAAAGTAGAATGCAGAAATGGTTCTTGAAGTAGGGACCGAATCAACTTCTATGCTATTTTCTAGAGAAACTTTCCTAGAGAAAAGTCAAGCTTTTGATAGTCTCTAGATCCTCTGCATTATTTCTATAAGTCCTTGGTTTTCAACAGTTAATGCAAAATGAGATTATTTGTATGTAGTGTATAAGTAATGAAAGTATCGAAACTGATGTACAAGTTAATGAGTCCCAGTTGTGCTTATTAGCCATATGCTGACACAGCAAAAGGGCAGATCTGAAGGAAACAGGTTAAAGAATTGCATAGAAGTATTAATTTAAAAAATATATCCTGAGGTTACTAAAACCAAATAGTTTTCAACAGTATTTCATGTCCTGTGAAGAACTGTTGTTCCCTACATAAAGCTCTGATTGGTTTGTTTCAGCCTGCACATACATATAAGTGCATAACAATCTGAAATACATGGTACTTAATGGAGTCTGTTTAATGTGCTCATTATGTTTTCAACATATACCAGGAGCTTTGAGTAAATAATTCTATTTAGCTGCTTTGCCTTAAGTAGCACCAGTGAAAAACAAGTGCAGGTTAAGTGTATACATCCAAGGAGTTGCCTCAAGTCACAAACACTCCGTGTCAGTGGAATAGCTGAGACAAGATGTGGCTTTATTTTGATTTAATAGAGATTTATCCTGGACTGATTGTATTTTTAACAATGAGGAATTTTGAAATGCAGAAAAGCATTATCCTAGTGTTTAAGCTGCAAGTGCCAACAAAAAGGAACATTTATGAAACTTTGTGATATGTTAGCATTACAGAAGTGAACTTGAGTCAACAACACTTTGTGTTTTGTGCTGTTCTAAACAAAGCTGAGTGGTTTTGAACTTAATCTTGGGTTTTTCTGGCCTTTTGAAAGAGAAAGGTTACTCTGTGGGAGACAAACTGCTCAGCATGGGAGCTTATTTTACCTCCATTCTGAACTTGTTCCACAGGCAACACTGGAATTTATTTTTTTTTATCATTTATTTTTTTTTAGAATCACACAATCATAGTTCCAACCTCCTAGTTCCAACCCCCCTGTGTGGGCAGGGACATCTTCCACCAGACCCAGTTGCCCCATCCAATCTGGCCTTGGATGCTTCCAGGGAGAGGGCATCCACAACTTCTCTGGGCCACCTGTACTAGTGTCTCACCACCCTCATGATGAAGAATTTCTTCCTGATGTCTAACCTAAATCTCCCCTCTTCCAGCTTAAAGCCATTAGCCCCTGTCCTGTTGCTATGTGCTCTTGTAAAAGGTCTCTCTCCAGTTTTCTTGTAGGTCCCCTTTATGTTTGGTATATTTACTTAGTTATAAATTTCAGTGCATTTTAGTATATTTTTCTACTGATGCATTTCTAGGAATGGCATAGGATTATTTCAGAAGTGCCTGAATGGCAGTGAAGTGGAGCACATATTTGCAGCTTCAGCATTCTAGATGCCAACTCCAGTTTGCTGTTCTGCCAGCCGTTTCTCAGCGATGTGAGGGATGTCAGACACTCTTCTCACCTGTTAACTGTTTTGAAGTCTGTCTAGTTAGAGTTTCAAGGCCCTGTCTACGTTTATTCTTCCTGGCATTAAGTGTATTGGGTCAGAGGTCATAAGCTTGCATTTTAGCTGATCCTGTCAGCAAAATCCCTGATGTTGGCTTGTTTATGCTGAAGAGCTTTCCCTATTTATGGTACAACCTGTCAGTATAGGACACATACTAGCACAAGCAGGAGAGGCCATGCAGTGTTCACAGGGCCTACATGCAATTCTCATTACCTCTTGAATATTAACCAAGGTTTATAAAGTAACATTCACTGTGTTTAACAAATCTGGTGCTTGGTTCTGAATTTAGTAGCGTAGAATTAAAAAATGTTAAAATATCCATTTGTTGATGAAAATTGATGTTGCTTAGGCTTCATAAACTCTAGGAAATGGCTTGCAGTTTTGGATCTAATGTTTGGGTCTGGCTGTTTTCCTCCTCTCTGTAGGAAGGTATGGTACGATGTGATACGGCTGTGGGAACACCAGACTATATATCTCCTGAAGTATTGAAGTCTCAGGGTGGTGATGGTTACTATGGGCGAGAATGTGACTGGTGGTCAGTTGGAGTCTTTTTGTATGAGATGCTTGTAGGTGAGTAGTAGGATAATCTAACTGATTGTGCTACTGACTTAACTAGATTCTATGTTATAATTGCTATGTTTTTAACTGATTAATTTCTTAATCTTCTGGCATAAGCTTTGGTTTACTGATCATGTGTTATTTACAGAATACAGCATTCTGGCACAGTTCTCAAACTTGCCTCCTGTTCGTTTGGCCTTGCCTCTTGTTCATTTAGTTGCTCACATTGTTGCATATGTAGTTCAAATATTTTAAATCAAATCCACAATACCTTTGATATGTTTTAAATTTTGCCTTCTTGCTTTTCCAGGTGATACACCTTTTTATGCAGATTCTTTGGTTGGAACATATAGTAAGATTATGAACCATAAGAACTCTCTTACTTTCCCTGATGACAATGACATTTCTAAAGAGGCAAAAAACCTTATATGTGCTTTTTTAACTGACAGGTAAGATTTAAACTTTACTCAAAACGAAAGTAAGCCTTAGTTAAGATAATTTCTTCTCATGTTGAAAGGACGTATATATATATGTGTGTGTGTGTGTTTTGTGTGAGTTTCTAAACTGTTCAACAGAAGTGAGTATTTGGGAGAGGAGTCACCAATGGTTGCTGCTGCTCTTTGTGGTGATAGTATGTATACTGGGGGAAAGGAAGTGCTACTGCTATGGGTACATCTATGTTACAAATTTTTTTGGAGTATGAAGTGTTACTGCATAATAACAGTTACAGTTACCTTGGACTGTGTCGCACAGTGTTGAAGGGCACACGGAATTAATTCCTTTTGGATTACGCTAAAGCAAAAGATGCATTTCAGTAGTGCCCCTGATGCACCCCTGGCTCTAAGTGGGCATTCAGGATCAGGGTAGAGTCAGCCCAATGGAAGCCCATCTAAAATGTGAGTGTTAGGTCTGCTTCACTTTGTAAATACACTCCTGTTGTACCCACACCACGTATAACCAAGTATAAGCATAACCTTTGCTTGAGAACTGGTGCTACAAAAGAGGACTGCTGCATTTGCTGGGCTGAATGGGATTCAAACAACACCATGAGCTCCTAAAAAAAGTGGAACCTGTCTGTTGCTTGTCAGCTGTCTAGCTAGTCCATGATGGTGATACAGTAACAGCAGGATGTCTTATGGACCAAACTTAAAAACCTGTCTTCAGACTGTGTTCTGAAATGTAGCTGCTGTGCTCCTATAGATACCTTCATATGAAACTGTGAGATATGTCTATTTCTTACCTCAGTTTGGGAGGTAATTTTTTGTCTTTGTTGTTAGATTATGTCTTAGAATGAGTCTTTTCCTTCAGAACAATTCATGTAATCTTCCATGCTTAAGCAAAACGCTCTTTTAACAGGGAAGTGAGGCTAGGACGAAATGGTGTAGAAGAAATAAAACGTCACCTTTTCTTCAAAAATGATCAATGGGCTTGGGAGACTCTAAGAGACAGTAAGTAGAATGCTTTTTTTCAGAGACTGTCATCTGTCTTATGCGTTATGTTAGAAAAAGAATTTCCATATTTCTTTTTAATGTAATTTAATTTTCTATTTACTTTATACCAAGGAAAGTGATTCCTTGGACACCAAAGATAAATTCTCCTGCCCCCCCAATTCCTGATTGTGTCACTGGACAGTGTTCATTAACACACTGTTCTGTTTTTTTCTAGCTGTAGCACCAGTTGTGCCCGACTTAAGTAGTGACATTGACACTAGTAATTTTGATGATCTGGAAGAAGACAAAGGAGAGGAAGAAACGTTTCCCATACCAAAAGCATTTGTGGGCAACCAGCTTCCTTTTGTAGGATTCACATATTACAGCAACCGTCGGTATGTACGCTGAAGCAAGCTGATAGTGTTTTCTTCTGTCGATACTGTATCTGACTCTTACTAACCAGTATTTTTAAGACAAACCTTTTCAGATTGCTAATAATTATTCAAAATCCTAATAGATTTTACTCTTTTCACACTTCAGTAATGATAACCAGTACTGTTAGTTATCAGTACCTTAAAACACCATGCTGAATTTGTGAATGTCTTATTCTCCATTAAGAGTATTATGTAGTGGTGCTGCAGAAGCTAAACAAGAAAAATCTACTGTTGTCACTACTAAGCAGAGCTGCCTGAAAAGGACTAAATTACGTATGTAGAGTCATGGATTAGGGGTATGAATGTCACTTGGTTTTACTGTGAATTACTGTTCCTGAGCTGTATATGCAGATTCCATACTTTCCATGAGTGTTTTAGCATGTAATAAATTAAATACTGGCTTACTAGAAAGAAAATATTTTCTGTTTGCCTGTTACCTGCTTCATAATGTTTCCTTTTTTCTTTTTCTGAAGTATTTACTCATCCACTGCAGAGTGAGATTGTGATGCCTTACCATTTTCACTGCTGCTTACATTTTAAATTACATGAGTAAAAATTGTATTAATTCATGCTTTCAATAGTCATTATTATTGTAGGCACTGTGGATAGGTATATCTACATTCAGAAACCTTGATAACTTTTTCTTACTTTGAAATATACTGTTAATTGTAATGGGTGTTCAGTCAGGCTAAATGGGCCCTTTAAATGGGCTAAAACCTCTAGTAGACCGTGTCAGATAGACACTGTTAGTTTTAATAGTGTTTCTGGATAGGAAAATCATAAAGGAAATAAATATGGTTTTCATCCTTGGAAAGAAGAGGAACCACTTTTCCAAGCTCGTGGTGAAATTCTTTCCATCTCTGTAAAGGGCTGGATTTGTTAATTGCTTTCTGCATAGTGAGGAGTAGAAGGTCTTGCAAACTTTGCGTAGTTTGTTTGAGTTCAGCAGTTCAGGAATTTCACCTGCTTTTCTGATTTTAGTCTGTAATTTAAAAGGTCTTTAATTTTTGCCTTGTAGGAAGATTTTGGAGTTTATTATCAAGATGAAGTAGCATACAGAAGCTTGTTAATGACAGTAGTTCTCTCCCAGCTTCCGTCTTGGGGGACAGCATCAGGAATTTAGAGAACTAAGTGGATGGTGTTTTGCTGTCATTGAAGAACTTTGTTACTAAATACTGTAATAACTGTGTAGCCTTATTAGAACTAAAATGTTGTCCTGGGATTGAATGTTGTCCCATAATACTCTGTTGTCCCATGATGTTACTCAGGTCTGACAGTCTTGAGTCTGAAGTGGCCATTCATACTTGCTAAACCTGTAATCCTAACTTTTATTCCCTTTTTGTATTGAAAATAGTTGAAATATTTTTTTTTAAATGCATATTTTGAAAAAAGTTGCGCATTTATCCCCACTTTCCTGTGACTTAATCTTGTTCATATACGCTGGAGAGTTTAAAGAAACAAATCTGGGGAAAATGATGGGACTTCTGTCATTGAAGGCAGTAGTACAGTCTTCTGGTATAGAACACTTTCTCATTCTCATTGATTGTAAATGAGGAAGTATGTTTTTTTACTAGTGAACTACTAACTGAGAACACTTTGCAACCCTATTTGGCTTGTGTGTTCTCTTCTGGATTCTGATGCAGCTAGGGCTGTGCCTGTTTAAATGTCACATTCTCAATTCTCAGCAGCCCTGGTGTGCAAAATATGGTGGCTTATAGTACTCAAGACAGCAAGCCCCCTTCTGTAGTGAATGATTCTGTTTCCTCTTCATCTTCCGATTGTCTGAAAGCAGTCTTGGTGTTTAATTTGGCCTTAACTTTGGAGATGTCTTTGATTTTACCCTCCCTGATCTTTTGGGGGGGTGCTTTATGTGTGTGAAATTACCCATGCAAAACAAAAAAGATTAGTCCATCTTTCTCAGTTCATGCATTGGAGAGTTTTTCCTCTCATAATCTGATGCAGTTGGAGGTGGTTTTCCGTCTCTCTAGATCAATTGTCAGGCCAAGAATATGACGTCAAGTACCAAAGGAATTTAAAGATAGTAATTTGTTTTTACTTACCTGACTTCTCAGAATCATGACAAATAGAAATTTGTGGTATTTTTAGAAAGCACTTACATAAAATAATACTGGCTTCAGGGCAAACTTTTTTATGTGTGGAATTCTTAGTAACTGTGTTGGAAGTTACACAATCTCTGCAGAGTTTGCTTCATTGCTGCTACTTGCTGCATAAGTGCCTGAGTAAATATTTATGGGATGGAAGCCAGTGAGAATGTTGTAACCATGGAAGGCATAGATTTTTTAAATTACTATTAAAAAAAACAACAAACCAAAGTGGTTGTATTAGTATTTGGCAGAAATCCTTTTTTCTGGAGGTCTTCTGCTGCAGTTTTCTGCTTTATCCTTTACAATAAATGATGTGAGGTTTTCAATTAAATGTGCCTTAATCTTTAAGTATAATAAATACGATAATGAAAGATCTGCTTGTTACTATTTGCTTATCCACATTTTGAAGCAAAAATCTGGAGATTGGTTTAGGGTGATTGTATTCTGTTTTTTTCACATAATGTTGCTTTTAAACAACTCTTAAAACTTTAAAAATGTTGTTACAGGTATTTAGCTGTCTCTGCAGAAAATTCCAATGATAACAGAACAGGCTCGAGCGTCGATAAAAGTGTGGTATGTCTCACTTTTTTCAGCTTTGTTGTATCCTAGCAAAGAATCTATTTCATATATAGGAATAAACTGTTCAAGGTCTAAATGTCTCAGATTATTTTAGTGCTTGGATATGGGAAATCAATGCATAAATTTTAACTGTTTAGTATGGCCTGTCTACTGAAGTTACTGGAAAAGCAGAATTTCAGCTCTTCATATAACATTGGTTTTCCTGAATTGGGATTAAATAGCCTAAACTGCCTACATTTTTTGTGGAACTGGATCACAGTTTTTATCTTTAGAAATACCAGAGTGTTTGTGCAGTATTTTTAGAGTTCCTTATTGATCCCAGGTGTACACTGACTTTGTGAAATCATGGAGTCTGGATGTGTGCATGCTTTCCAGCAACCCACCAGTTAAACGCTGGAGCTGGATTTCCTGTGAACTAAGTGGAAGGTGGCAGATAATGTACCAAGCTTGGGTATTCCGCTGCTTCCCAAGGGTCCCCCACAAGCTATGGGGAATTGGGGCACTGAGAATCCACATTTTTAGTGCAGTTCATCTGGGAAGAAATAGCAGTCAAGTTTCCAGGAAGGTATGCTGAGGTGTTGGAAACAAGGCCTGCTTGGATTCTGTGTAAGTTCTGATGCAAATCAAGCTATTCCTTTAGAATGGTCTAATATTTTATAAATCACATATTTAGCAGAAGAAAACAGTCTAAAAATTGATAATTATCTCTAAAAGAAAACATCTTGGCTTTGACTATGAGTTACTTGCTTAGTATTTTGTTCAATTATGTTTTCCATTCCAAGTAGAAGAGAAGCAGGTATTAATGTATGTTCCTCTTAAACTTGCAATATAAAAATGTTAATGTGTTATTCTATTACCCAGAGAAAGTTTGTAAAAGACAGGAACTGATTACGTACTTTATTGGGCTCACTGAATTTGCATTTATGTGTCTTGTTGTCTTTATGTTGATGTGTTCCATACATTTTGTTTTCATCATAAGCATTTGGCTGTTGATATGGTAAAATTAAAAGCAGAGCTGGACTTGGAGATATTTAAAGCTGTATGCTGGCCTTGGATTGGCTTTGAAGAGAGTTACTGAAGAGTTTTTGCTGGCTGGACAGTTGGGCCCAAAGAGTGGTGGTCAATGGAGTAAAATCCAGCTGGGGCCAGTCACAAGTGGTGTTCCTTGGCTCAGTGTTGGGACCGTTTCTGTTTAACATCTTTGTTGATGATCTTGATGAGGACATAGAATTTATTATCAGTAAGTTTGCAGATGACACCAAGCTAGGCAGGAGTGTTGATCTGCATGAGGATAGGGAGGCTCTGCAGAGAGACTTGGATAGATTGGATCGTTGGCCTAATGTTAGTGGTCTGGGCTTCAACAAGGCCAAGTACCAGGTCGTGCACTTGGGCCACAACAACCCAAGGCAATGCTCCAGGCTTGGGGAAATATGGCTGGAAAGTGTCTGGCAGAAAAGGACCTGGGGGTTCTAACTGACAGACGGCTGAACGTGAGCCAGCCGTGTGCCCAGGTAGCCAAGAAAGCCAATGGCATCTTGGCTTGTATTAGAAATAGTGTGACCAGCAGAAGTAGAGAGGTGATTGTCCCCCTGTCCTCAGCACTGGTGAGGCCACACCTGGAATATTGTGTCCAGTTTTGAGCACCTCAATTCAAGAGAGATATTGAGGTGCTGGAGCGAGTACAACTTCAAGGACTGTTGGTATCTCTTTCCCAGCCCTTTGGTGTACAAACTCCTTAATGTGCAAGAAATTGTACATATGCAAATAGGTGGATGATAAGCAGCTGGCTCCTCCTGCATTGATCCCCTGGCATTTTGGCTTCTTCCCACTTCCACCAGTTCTGCCCATGCCACTTTTCTGGAATCCGCTTGATCGGAGCATCTTACAAAGCCTTAAATGGAAGATAGTGGCATTTCTGATCTCATTTTCCAGTATTTCAGCTGTGCCATAATCTATTTACCACACAATTTGTGTCACTTTGATAAGCGGCTGCTTCAAGACTGCATTTATTAAAATCAAGAGCAGGGAGAGCTTTCAAGTCTCTCAAGTGTTGTAATAAATGTTTGAAATTAGTCATTACAGTGTTTGCCATGGTTCATATCATAGACTCTGATTCTATGACTTTGTGTAATTAGTGGGATACAGGCACCTGAATGTAGTTGAAGATCCTTCAGGAGTCCTGTCCATATTGTCAAGTGTGTTTGAATGTCTTGTGATTATAAGAGTTTTGGGAGGTGAAGCCTCTGGAAGAATATGAGTGATACAGAGAGGCTTAAATAAATGTTAAGTCTTTACTACAAGGCATTTTTACCCACAGTTCTTTCTCAGTTGTTTTTCTTTCATTACATGCTGCAATGAAAACAGTGATGTTGACACACGGTTAGCAAATTAATTAGTCCTAGAAATGAAACACAAGATGTTACTTTGTCTATCTGCATTTTGGCATAGTACTGAGTGTCTTTTGGGAGGGACCAAGTGCCAGAAATTTCTGACAAATGCATTGCATTTTGCAAGAGTGTAAAACTTCACAGAATTAAACCATTCAGTGTCTTAACTGAATTTCAAACCTCTCTGAAGATCTGATGATATACTTTGGTTTAGTCCTGCCAGAACCACGTGTAAACAGTCAGATATGAAGAAAGAGGAGATTAACAGAGTCTTTTGCACTGGGTCTTCGGTTTTCTTCGTGGTTGAGGGTGCAGAACCAGATACACTGTGCTGTGCTGATTTAAAAAAAAAAAAAAAAAAGTTTCACAGTTCCAGAGGGATTTTTCTTGGCTTCTCTGCTGTAGGCAGGCGTTTCCATATTCCTTTCCTCCCCCTCCTTTTACTCAAAATGGAAATTGAGAACAAACTAAACCATAAAGTAATACTTTCATACTGAGTTAATTGTAACTCAGGATTTTCCTAAGGTATTTTTTAGTCTATTGATTTCAGATTGTGCAAAACTTCTCTAGAGGCCTGTTTCTCATACTAATGTAATTAGACGGCTCAGCAAGCTCAGATTGGCCCCTTGGGGTACAGCACTGTAAAGCATCCAGAGGCAGAAAAGAGCAAGCAGGGGCTATAGAAGTCCAAACTAGTAGGAGTCAATACAGAAATGCATCAGTTGCCAGATGTCTTTTTGGACCTGTTCCTCATCTGTCCTATTTAGTTCCCTTATGCAGCCTGTCAGGAAGGGCTATGAAATGAGCAACCAAAAAATGGATGAGCAATTATGTTGAAATATCTTCTTTTTTTTTTTTTTTTTTTAAATTAACTGTGGTCCCTTTTTACTAAAGCGAGAGCTAGCCTTTAGTCTTGTTTCTTGATTTCTTGGTTCACACCAAGGAGATAAATGTCTTGTGTACTGGTTCTCCTTGCTTTCTCCTCAAAGTTTAGATTTAGAGGCCATCTACATGGGTTTGGACTACAATCATTGTCTCATCCACATGGTGTTATGTTTTATGTCACACCTTTAATTGGTTTTCCAGAGCTGATCTGTAGGTGCTGAGAAGTCTGTTTCTTCCAGTATTTCCTTGCTTTCACAAGGCTTTGTGATAGGTAGTGGTAAATATATAAAAGAGAGTGATGAATGTATAAAATACATAGTTTCTGCTTAGTACCCAGTTGCCATGTCAATGTTCTTCCTCTGAAAACTTCAGGGGAGCTTAAGAACATGGAGGAAAGAAAGGATCTCCAGTTCTGGAGAGCACCTGAGTGCTCCATGCTTTAGTTTCTTCTACATGGGGAAGGAGAACAGATTGAAAGTAGGAAGGAAAATGCCTGCCTGGAGGTAGTAAAAAGTAGCTTATAACTTTCTCATTTAATATGGATAAAGCATGTTATAATATGTCTGCAAACCGTTATCTTAGTTTAGGATGAAGGGCAGTCCTTGCTTAGAACACTTACTGTTGCTATCAAGAGAGAATGGAGACAAGTGTAGTCTGTCTCTTTTTCATTATTTCAGCGAGTAGTTCTAGTTTCTCTAAGCATATGTTGTGGGAAAAAGAAAAAAGGAAGAGGCAGATGTAGGAGGAAACTCTTCTGTAGCTTCTTTTTCTGGAATGATTGTGCAAAAGGAGACCATTTTCAGAGTTATTGAAGTTATAACGAGGAACAAGAAAACAAAGGGTTAGAACCACTTGAATATGTTGCTTTGAAGAGAGTCTAGGTTAGGGGTGTACTGCTTCTCTATGCAGTTCTAGGGGTGTTGAGGGGAATGTGGGAAAGCTGAGTAAGGCTGAAATTCTGACAACATCAGCAAAAAGGTTTAAAATAGTGAGTCAGTATGGGCTTGACTTAATGAGCTTCCTCAAAGTTGACACCATCTGGTTAATTGAGGATTTTGCTGAAACTGGAGTGGGATTATTTGGCTCAGAGATGATGCAGAAGGTAGATATTTTGGGACTACATTGAAAGAATGAACTTCTGAATTTGCTGGCAAACAGTACCTGCTATACAGTAATGTTCTATATTAATATCTGAAACTTACTACTATTTTCAAACCGTAGCGCAGTGATAGCTATAAAAATTACCTCTGACTAAATGGATGTTAAGAGCATTTCCCCCCCTTGCTAGTAAGAGACTGGTCTGGTTCTGCTTCCTGAACTCATTGAGAGGTTGAAGATGTATTGCAAAATACATGTGGTGGTTCATGCTAAAAAAAGAGATGTTGAGACCAATTAAAATGCTTTCTTATATCTTTGCAGTAATATCTTTAGTCTGATCTTTAGACTTTTTTTGGGCGATCACATCTTAATAAGGTAGAAATGTAGTGTACAGATAGAAGTGATACAACATAAGCACCACTGAATATTCTGAAAGACTTTTTTAAGTTTTAAAATTTAATGCATGTTCTTTCATGTAAAAATATATATTTAAAGCTGGAAAATATGCAGAAGATGATCTATGAGTTGGAAGAACAACTACATAATGAAATGCAGTTGAAAGACGAAATGGAGCAAAAGTGCAGGTGAGACTTTAAAGTTTAATTGTTTACATAATTTAAATACATCTAACCCTTCAGTTTTCTCTTATTACTACTTTAGGGATTACCAGACTAACACTAAGAATGTTGTATTGTAGTTCTCCCCAAGAGTTCCAGGCACAGGTTTAAGTAATTCTAAAACAATATTTGGATAGTTTTCTTGAATAGAGTATGAAGAAAAACTTTTGTTTGCCTTGGCACCCATGTAACACAAATATTGAAGTGTTCAGAAAGAATGTAAGTTTACCTGATACTCACAATTCAGCTATTTTATTGGACTGAGGTAACAATGATCGTACTGTTTTTTCTAAAAAACCCCCATATATTAAATACTGTATGTGCATCATATATTGCATTATTGAAATTAATGGTCTGACTTGTAAATACATGGTAGTTATTGGAAAATCACATATTTTTTTTTCTGTGACTGATAACTAAGATGATAAACTATTTGCTTTCTGAAGTCTTGCTTCTGCTGTGTTGAAGTGGTAGCTACATGAGAATTTGCGTATTTTTTGCAGCTAAGCTTATGACCAAACAATTGGGATTCTTCTTTTTTGATAATCAGAACCTTTTACTCAGTCATGTAAACTAAATTCCCCTTCAGCTCCCTTCTACACTTGAAGTCTTTTCCTGAAGGAATCAACATTAGGTACAGGATATAGGAGGGGTGTAGGCTTATGAATTAGGACCATAGTGTGTCACTGTACAAACTACTTGTGCGGGAAGTGGTAGCCACGGTAGTCTGGTAGGAGTTTAGACTGTGTTACAGTGTCACTTACTTAAACATAACTCACTGTTCAGGTGTGCTGATTGCTTTCCACAGGCAGGATGTTAATTGCTTGAAGATATTCAGTAGCTGTCTTCCTGCAGTACCACTGAAGCTGTCAGAGCAAAACTGTGTCTTCCGATATGTCATTCCATTTACTGCCAAGTTGCTGTAACTGCTTCTTATTGAACCTGCCAGGGAACATTGTCTGGGTCCTTTTTTTAATCTCTTTGGAGAAGGACAGCTAGCTACAAAAGTGCAGTGGATGTGTTAACTGAGGTTTTACTGTGCACTTAACCTCACTCTCTCATAGTACTATGTTCTAATACATTGCCACAACCGAGAGACTTTTAAGTTATGTTATTCAAGTATCTTTATCCGTAGTGGACTGTTGAATTAAAGAATCATTTTAGATATTTAGAAAGTTCACAGCTAGAAGTTTTAGCAGTTCACCAGGGTATTCTAATTTTAATGATAGCCTGTTGTGTATATACACTATTTTCACATTTGCAGACGTAGGAAGAAAATGTGGCACCTAAAGTTTCGTGTATATTATCTGCAGCAAAGTTGATGAATGCTTGTTAATATATTTTTACAAATTATTTCCAATGATTGATTATTTTCTTACATTTCAAAGTTTATTACAAACTAGCGTTAGCCAAAATATAAATGTTTCCTTTGGTAACAGCCCCAAAATATTTCACAAAAAAACCACTGTGTATAATATGTACTCAAATAATATTGAAATTATTTTGTTTTACTTTTAGATCTTCAAACATAAAGTTAGACAAGATAATGAAAGAACTGGATGAAGAGGTAATTTTTTTCCTCCCTGAAGCCTTCTTAGTTGGGTAAAGAATGCAGATAGCACTTTCATGGTTTAGGATATTTCTTCTATGTCTGAAAAAATGTTCTGAGTTTAAATTTTGGACCATACCATCACATTTCAGTACATAGCATTGAGAGATACATTTTTATTTGTATACATTTTCAAAAACATCTTTTATCTGCAAATCATGCTGAATTATATTTCCTCTGCAAAAAAATGTTTTGCTTAGTCTTGCTCATCACAATTTCTCTGGAGTTTGTCAAAATCAGTAACTCTAAAAATTATCATACAGGTAATTTTCTGTTGAGTCCTTATGTTGTCTCTTAATAATAATTTTCATAGTTACTTGCATCCAGCCACATTAAGGATAACTTTTCTAGCAATTTCATACATTTGCCATGTGGAAGTTAAAAAGCCATCTTTTCTGAAAACCTTTTCAAGAAAGCCAGAAACTCACTGGAAACGATGCATCAGTTTCTTTGATTAGTTAGTTGCAGAGCTACTGGTTTAGGAGTCACTCCTTAGAATGTACATAGGGAATCACTAGTGCTTTTAATTTTAGGGAAATCAAAGAAAGAACTTGGAATCAACACTGTCTCAGATTGAGAAGGAAAAGATGGTTTTGCAACATAAAATAAATGACTACCAAAGAAAAATTGAACAAGAGAATGAAAAAAGACGGAATGTGGAAAATGAAGGTATGTCATCTTGTCCAAAGGTTGACACTAATGAGAGGTGTATGATGTGTTTTGAAGAATAATGTACTACCTTAGAATCTTCAGTGCTATGCAACTTTAAATTTAATTTAGTTAATGAGCACAAATTTTGAATTTACTATTAGTATTATTGAGTTCATTTTAACAAGACTACAGTATTTTGGTTTCTCTACAATATGCGTTTCTGTTCTGCAAGCACAGAATTTGACCCCTAAATGTATATAAAAAGCAAAAAGTCAATAAAAGACCTTCTATATGCTGGGTCTTTGAGTGTGTTTGTGTAAAATTAAAAAAAAAAAAAAAAGTATGAGTTGTTTTAATCTGATGTACTTATGGTGTAATTTCTTTTTAGTGTCCACATTAAAAGATCAGATGGAAGACTTGAAAAAAATCAGCCAGCATTCACAAATTACAAACGAGAAGATAACGCAATTACAAAAACAAGTATGTTGCTTCTGTTTATTGTCTTCATTATCTCTTAGATGTAAAAAGCAGTATTGAATATTCAAATGTAAAAAAACTGGTCCAGTTTTTATATTTGAAAACCTTGTCTATTTTGTTTTAACAGCTAGAAGAAGCAAATGATTTGCTGAGGACAGAATCAGATACAGCAGCAAGGCTGCGAAAGGGTAACACAGAAATGAGCAAGTCTTTAAGTCAGGTAGAATCACTGAACAGAGAACTCCAAGAAAGGTGCAGAGTTCTAGAAAGCACAAAACTGCAGGTGGAGAAAGATTATTACCAACTACAAGCAGCTTTGGAGTCGGAACGAAGGGACAGAAGTCATGGATCTGAAATGATTGGAGAACTACAGGGTAATTCTTCTGTATTTATACTTTACCAAAAAGTCTGTGACAGCACTACTTTATTAACTAAAATACAGTTACATAGAAGGAGGAAAGTCAACTTGCAAACCATGTGTGACTTAACAGAACAATTTCTGACAATTGGATTTTGCTTTCTGGTTTTGTGTGTCTTGGGAGGGAGAATATCAAAATCAAAGAGTGAAAAACTACTGATTGTAAGTCTGTGGCTGCCTGGACTACAAGTCTGAGTCTGGTGTACAAAATCAGAGAAAGCTGATACAGTGGTAGAAAAAACACAACACTGTCTTACTGCATTGGTGCAGTAGTCAAGATGTCATACCCTGCACTTTTCTCTTCTTCCATTTTTGTAGAAAGCTATTTTGTTGTTAAATTGCATTTGTTTTCTTTTATAATGCTTCTACACTACTTTATAAACAAGATGAAGAGCATAGTAAGGGATGCAGATGTGGAATCCCTGTTTTTCACAATGCTTGGAAGTTTTTTTGCCATTTGTACTTCTAATTCTTCATAATAGAAACTATTTGGCTACACTAGTTCCTGACTCTGCTTATGCTAATGCGTCCTGTGCTATCCATGTGTTAGTGGAGTGAATGTCAGAAAAGGTGCTTCTTGCATAGCACAGCAGAACTCAGATTAATAAAAGAAATTTTGTATATTAGATACTAAGTGACCAAGTTTTTTTGCATGCAGTTGCTTTTGTGAATTGCTGCTGATGGCAGGCATGAGCAGTGTTTGAAAATACCAGTTTCCTTTACAATGTACATCTGAAAAATTAAGATGTAAATATTTTAGGGGCCCAGAAATCAATAAAGTTTGAAAAGCCTGTTGATCTAAGTTGAGTAACTAACATTGAGTGGTATTTTGTGTCTTATGACAGTTCGGATTACAACTTTACAAGAAGAAGTAAAAAACATTAAAAACAATCTTGAAAGAGTTGAAGCAGAAAGAAAACAAGCACAAGATATGCTTAATCATTCAGAAAAGGTATGGTCAAATGATGTGGAGGCTCATGTTCTTTATCAGCTTTTGACTGTATTTTCAAATGGTATTTCTTGATACTACTAAGTCCTGTGATATTGCTCTAAATCAGTCTTGTATTAAAATCATTAGCTAAATAGTGCTAACTTAGATTCTCATCAGGATGGTAATTCTCAAAAGTCCTCAGATAGTTTTTACTTGTAGCTTTAGGTGTAAAATTCTTGTTTGTCATGGATGAAACCCTTCTGCCCGTAGCAATTAATTTTTGTTCTGCCTGCCTAACTATTGCCGCAGAGACTTGTCTCCTGAAAATCTATGCATTGAACTTCTTAAAAACCTGAAATTTAAATTTCTCCTTTTACTAGATTTTAATTTGCCTGGATTGATGACAGACCTTTTGATGAACTTTGGAGCTGAACTATTTCAATTTTTTTACTTCCTTCCTAAAAAACAGTAACAGCATATTCCCTTAACTTCTCTGATCCCTGCCCCAAGATAGAGAAACAACTAAAGAAGATTAACCCTTTCTCCAGATAGACTATATAGTTAACTCTGTATTTTGAGATCAGATTTGCTGTGCCATGTAGTCTATCCAAATAAACCAGAGAGATGAGTATGTATGAGGGAAGGTGCAAGCATTTACTGTCCTCACTTGGTCTTATGTGAAGTAGTGATCCAAAGGCAAGTCCAGATCTCTGAAAGCTCATCTCCAGTGCTTGTTTCATGAGTTACAGTTAATGGCTGGCAGTCCCAACAATGAAATAGCAGAATTGCATCCAGGTAACAGTAATTCAGATTCCTCTTTGCTCTAGTGTTGTTGGTGGATTACTTTATGTCCAATTTAAGTGACTACTAATTATTCAAACTGAGAAGTTTCTGCTATCTTAGGAAATTACAGATTACAGAAAAAATCGAATGAAGATTTTTCCAGAGTATGGAGTACAGTTATGATTCCATTCTTTATTAAGCATTGAAAAGAACATTGATAATGTCTTCACAACAAAAAGTTAACACTAAAAAAGGGAAGAAAGGAATTGTGATTCCCTCAGATACTGTAGAAATATTACAGAAATCTGGTAACTTTTTTTTTTCCCTTTTCTTTAGGAAAAGAATAATTTAGAGATAGATTTGAATTACAAACTCAAATCGTTACAAGACCGATTAGAACAGGAAGTAAATGAACACAAAGTGACTAAGGCTCGGTTAACTGACAAACACCAGTCAATAGAGGAGGCAAGATCAGTTGCAATGTGTGGTAAGTGTTTCTTGCAAATTTCAGTTAAATGCAAAACAAAAGATATTTTGATTATGGTATCTCAAAGCACATTGCCTTATAATGTACTGCTGTTACACAAGTCTTAATCCCTTGTATAAAGCAAATGCATATGAGAATTGCCAAACATGCTTAATGAAAAGTACACCTTTAAAATTATTTTCTCTAACGTGGTACTTGTACCATAAAAACTGCATTTTTTCTTTATGTTTTGAGTATCTTATTGCATTTGCAATTCAGAGCCTTCCTTGGCTTCTGAGATAATCTTGAATCTTGAAATTCTGGCTAAATGCTAAACAGAATTGAAAGACTGCATTATCAAGACAGATTTCTTCGACCATTCACTCCTGTGTAATTGCATTAAAAATATTGCTGTTGTATGAGGCTTGTCTGAAGTGTTGAAGTTTCATTTATAGGTGCATATCCATGAATCAGAGATCCTGTCATGTTTTACTGGTGAAGGTTATTGGTATCTGCATGTGTAATTTGTAATTTCTCAGAAAGCTAACATGAATGATAGCATTTCATTTCTTTCCCTCTATTATTCATTCATGGAATTGAAACTTTGCCTTTATTTCATAATTATTACTTCAAGAATAAGGTGGGGTTTTTTATTTTACTATTAATATTCACTATTTATGTCTCAGTTGTCATGATAACATTCCAGTGCTTTGAATGCAAATTGGAACTGCATTTCTGCTTTATTGTTCTGTAATCATTCAGAGAAGTTTTTACTCAGTAATCAGTCCATCTAATAGCAGAAGAGCTAAATAGTTGAACAAGAGGGCCTGAAAAGTATTAGGATATTTAAGACTTTGTTTACAAAAGCATTCTCGCAGATGCAATGTACTCATTTTTGCTGTTTTTCTTTCCCTAATGTTGTTTAGAAATGGAAAAAAAAGTAAAGGAAGAAAGGGCAGCAAGAGAAAAGGCAGAAAATCGAATAGTTCAAGCTGAAAAACAGTGTTCCATGCTGGACTTTGACCTGAAGCAATCTCAGCAAAAACTGGAACACCTTCTTGAGCAAAAGGAGAGACTAGAAGATGAAGTAAGTAAAATGTTAATCACAAATCATTTTCTATATGAATGAGAAATTATTGTTGCATTGAGAAACACAAAATAAAACTCACCCTGAGCTCTTTGTATAGTACACCTCTCAGTGGAGCTGAAGACAGTTGTTGGCCTAAATGGTGTTAGGTAATTTCTGTTTGTTTCCTAGGTTTTGGATGCCTTACATATTTGAGCTCTTAATTTAATATAATGCATTTTTTGGTGTTTGGTTTTGGTTTTTTTTCTAAGGAAAAAATTACCTATGGTTTTGACTGTGCAGCCTGATTGGTTTGCAGTTCTGAGTTTTAATTCTCCAGAAAAGCATTTTTTTGGGACTTTGAAATAAGCTAATTATGGGGAAAGTTTATCATCATGCAGTATCATATCAGTGCATCCTGTAAGGACAGCAGCTTTCTGTACGATTGTTGCACTGAAGTGTTTGGAGATACAGGAATATTTTTACACATCGTACAATATGTAGCATCTAGGCAATGTCATTTGACATAAAATAATCCATGTATGAAACACTCTCAATCACATGCAATTAGTTGCTCAATAAACGCTCCTAAATTGAAATATTTGTCATTTAGGTAAAGAATCTAACACTGCAGCTAGAACAAGAGACCAATAAACGAATAGTGGCACAAAATGAATTAAAGGCACAAGCTTTTGAAGCAGATAACTTGAAGGGTTCTGAGAAGCAGCTGAAACAGGAAATCAATACATTGTTAGAAGCAAAGAGATTACTGGAATTTGAGTTGGCTCAACTTGCTAAGTAAGTAAAAATCTGAAGTAAAATGGAAAATGTTGCTTAATTATAAATGTACTGTTTTGCCTGTTCCTGTTAGTGAAAAAAGTTCTCTGGCACGTAGGCATTTTTTCCTAAACTAAAAGAATATTTTTAGCTGCATGTTATTATTTCTGTTTGTAGCCTTCAGTGTTGTAGTATTTTTGTCATGAGCTATGATGCAGAACAATTCTTGGCTCATCATTCAATGTCAAGGCATATATGCCACTTTTATTTGAGTGACTTATTTATGGATTGGCTGTGACGCTGCTTATTAAATCATATGTGACTTAGTTTTATTACATGGACCTCAATAGCTTTTTTTCCGTTTAACCACCTCATTCTTTAATGTTTCTTAAGCTAACTGGAAACATTTTTTCTTAGACTTCTGTCATATCTTCCTTATGCTGACTTAACATTTCTCTGTTGGTCTGTTGGTCTTTGTGAAATTGTGTGCGCCAACTGTAAAACCTTCATAGGGTGCTGTTCTGTTTAGAAATAGTCTGTCATTTGTTGGTAGCTGAGTATTTACATTTTTCCTTTCATATTTCTTCAAAGACAGTACAGAGGAAATGAAGGTCAAATGCGTGAGCTTCAGGATCAGCTTGAAGCTGAGCAGTATTTTTCGGTAAGACTTGCAAAGAATTGTGAGTGCTATATTTGGACATGAAATCATTGAACAGTTTGACACACTGAAATTTCTTGAATGTAAATAATAATCTGGCATAAATCAGTAATTCACAAAATCCTGCTTAAAATACATCGAACAAAAAATTAGAGAACATTAGATAGTCTGCCTAATGTTACTTTGTATTTGCTTGTCAAATCTAATGTGTTACGAGTAACTCCTACCTGAATTATTAATCACAGTAGTTCCCCTTTTGAGGTTGGAAAAGAGATGCTTTCTGACATAATTGCAAACTTTGTAGAGAGTTCCAAATCTGCATGCTTACTGGAATGTATTCCCTTGTATTGATCTACCATAAGTATATTTAAGAAACATATGTTCAGTAGCATTATGCAGGTATTCGTCATCCTTCTAAAAGGATGCTTTCTCTGCATCTGAATCCATGAAGAACATTCTTTGGTACTCCAGATAGCCAAATTGTGTATTTCACAAATTAAGTTTGATCTTTTTCAGTTCTGTGAAAAGAAGCAACAGCATGAGATGCTCTATAATAGCTAAACTTCAAATACATTTGTGAATATGGATTGCATTTCACTTAGCAAAGTACTTTAAAAATTAATTTCTTCCTTAAAGGTCCAGTAAAAAAATTTGTGTTTTCTGAACTGCATGTGATTAATTTTATTGTGTTACAGATTTTTGTGCATTTCTCCATAACATACTCCAAATAAGATCTGGAGTGTTGTGCTTAATTATTTTTTCTCTTTTTCCTCTGGCATGTAGTTAAAATAAGACATTTTTAAGTCAGTCTAAATATTTAATGAAAGTACTTTACTACAGAAGATCAAATTTTATCTTTCAGAATTACTGGTTGTGTTAATAACCATATAGTAATTAAGAATGAAGTCTTTCATGTAAGACAGCCCTCTGTTGAATCAGTTATTAAGATAAAGTCTGTGCATAAAAAACTTGCAGTCTAAGAGAAAGATAGATGACTATGAGCAGAATACAATAGTAGGAGCATAGGGACAGTATTAGTCTTGTTTGATGAACATTTAAGACAGTGGTGCTACAAGAGGATGAAGTTTTGTAATGATGTCTCCAAGAGACCTGCTCAGCTGTGTCCTAGTGCCTTCCTTCCCTACACAAGGGAAACAAGAGGAACATCTTGTACAGGCAGGAAGGAGGAAATTCCATTAAAGACAGTACTGGCATATGTTGGGATTTGACAGATTCAAACAAACTAGTATCCAAACAATGAAGAATTTCAGTATGGAATTTTAGTAATTAATTTTTTTTCATGTATGCTTTCTTTTACAGACACTTTACAAAACTCAGGTTAAGGAGCTGAAAGAGGAAATCGATGAAAAGAATAAAGAGACTCAAAGAAAAGTGCAGGAGTTGCAAAATGAAAAGTATGCCTATTGCATTTCTCAAATAGACATAAGTTTTTCTGTAAAGTATGGTCTCACTCATGAGGATTTTGATTCAGACTGAAAAGGTTAAATTCCTTCAGAAAAAGATCTCAAAAGTTTTCCATAACACCTTGTAAGATGACAAATACCAAGGATGTTTCCTATACTGATTCACAGAGCCAAATATGGTTATTATTGTGGTTATACAAATGGATTGCACTCCATTTGTAATGTTTGGAAGAAGAATGATGAGTTCTGAGAATTGAGAAAGATGCAAAATTTTGAAAAAACATTGCAGTTCATGGTAGTCATCTTGCTTGTATAACAACTTTTAAAATTTTGTTATATTATCCTGATAATTACTTGGACTATTTCTACATGAAATAAAACAACTTGAAGAAAAGATAAGGAAAATACTTATAATTCAAAGTTTAGTATACTTCTGATTACAGCAAAATCAGTTTGTCCAACAACAATTAATTGTGATATACTGTTTTTAAGTTAGCAAATAAGCTTGTTTTTTCAATTAATAAACTTAATATGTATTCATTCTGAAGGAGGAGACTGTAGCCTTATGCATGAAGCAGCGTTTCTTCTAATGTCTATGTCTCTTGTTCTAGTTGTGCATCAGCATTGCAGAACAATCTAAAGGGCGGAAGTTATGTACAGTATTCATGATGCATTTCAGTGCGCTAAGAAATAGACAAAGAAAAGATGTTAGGCTAATAAATACGATGTTGGGGGAAATACTTTTCTATGCAAAGTTGTTCAGGGGTAGTATAAAACTTTAAAAAAGGGACCAGGGGAAAGAGGGAGGAAGGAGACACTTTAGTCCTCTTGTTGTTTTTCTTTTTCTGTTCTTTTATTTATTTTTATAGATTTCTTTTATTCTATTCTTTCACTGTGCAAAGCACAATATCATCAAAGCACATCATCATAATTTTTCACTTATATACAGCTATGGGAATTCTGACAAACTGAGTATACTTCAGTAGTAGAGAGCCGTATCTACTACATGTGCATCAAATCAGTGGACTCCAAAGCAATACATATTTAATTGCATAATCTGTCATGAGCCTGCACTGCAGTAGTGTATTGCCTCTTCTATCTCAGCGTGCTGTGATCTATGTCACATGGTACTGGGTACATCTGACTTGTGGGTGCTAGACTGGCCACCATGCTTTATGTGGGTTCCTTTGCAGGCTAATATATAGGAGCTCTGCCTGTGTTCCAGACAAGTTTGGCATATGCGCTGAACTGATTAGAATGTATGTGTGTGTTAATGAGATGCTGCACCTAAGTTACTGCCCTTTGCCTCTCAGGCTGTAGGTGGAATTTACAAGCCTTTCTGTGGAAGGTTGCATAGAGCCGCTATATGTTTTCAGAAGCTTTACCCCATTTCCCTTATTGGCCACAGTCTGGAGCTCGCATCTTCGTAAGCAGTAATATTGTGTGAAAAAATAGCTTATACTGATAGGGTTAAGTGTCTTTTGATGTACCATACTGTACATGCAATTTATTTTTTATTCCTCAAAGGCAGGAGAACTTGACATCTGGTTTCCTAAGGGCTGGTGTTTCATGGCTGTGTGGAATTTCAGTTGGATTATAGTAAAGCTGCTGCTTTAGTTTGTGTGGACCATCAAAAGATACAACTGTACAGAGTGTGGTTTTGTAAATCTTGTTTTTCTTAAGAAACTAAAATAATTATAATTAGCTGAATGGTGTAATTTGAGTTTGTTAGTCTTCCTGAAAATTTGGAATGTTTTTCACAGGAGAGCAAAATCTTATTGTCCTTTTCGCAGAGAAACGCTCACTACCCAGTTGGATTTAGCTGAAACCAAAGCTGAGTCGGAACGGTTGGCACGAGCACTCCTTGAAGAACAGTATTTTGAACTGAGTCAGGAAAGCAAAAAAGCAGCATCAAGACATAGGCAAGAAATTACTGATAAGGACAGCATCATAAGAAGGGTAAGTTGTTCCACCGTAAGTACCTATAACCTCCAGCTGGAAATGGAAATTTATCTTTTTATTTTAATTTATAAAATTGTGGTCATAATTTAAGTATTTGAATTTTGGACTAGGTTAGTACCTTAAACATTTAAGTCCCATCATGTGAACTCTCAAAGAAATGCAGACTTGCTGAATCTTCCTGCTGGTAAACTATTTAAAAAGCCAAACAAGCCCCAAACCATAGATTTTGATGATATTTTGTAGCATAGCTCTTGAGTATTAATATCAGGTTGATGAACGTCTTAACTGAGGAGTTTCAAATAACAAGCCATATTTTGCACAGTTAATTTATTAATATTGTTTCTTCCCATTCATTGTCAGTTAGGCATATTTTCTTAAGAATTCTGAGGGTGTAAAACTTAAGTAAAACAAAGCAGAAATCACCTCCAACACAAGGAGCACATGGAGCTGTCGGAGTGAGTCCAGAGGAGGGCCACAAAGATGCTCAGAGGGCTGGAGCACCCCTGCTATGAAGACAGGCTGAGAGAGTTGGGGATCTTCAGCCTGGAGAAGAGAAGGCTCTAAGGAGTCCTTACAGTGGCCTCCCAGTGCCTGAAGTGGCCTACAGGAAAGCTGGGGAGGGACTTTTTTCAAGGCTGTGTAATGATAGGATAAGAGATAATGGATTGAAACTGAAAGAAGGTAGATTTAGGTTAGACATTAGGAAAAAATTATTTCCTGTGAGGGTGGTGAGACACTGCAACAGGTTGCCCAGGGAAGTTGTGGATGCCTTCTCCCTGGAAGTTTTCATGCCCGGGTTGGATGGGGCTTGGAGCAACCTGTTCTAGTGGGAGGTGTCTGTGCCCATGCTGCTGTGTTGGAACTAGGTGATCTTTAAGGTCTCTTCCAACCCAAACCACTTTGTGATGCTGTTAACTCGGGTCAATTGCTCAGGGCCTTCTGTTAGTTCTACCATGGGTATTCCATCTCTGTGTAAAGACAGCGGAAGTAATGTTTGTTACCCATGTTTTCTTTTATAAGCATGAAATCTCCAGAGTGCCACCATTTCTGAAGAAGCATTTACAAGGCTATCTCTCAACGGCCTTGAAGGGATACCTTCTTGCTAATATGTTTGTTAGTTCAAATATTCTGATAATTTTGCCAGGCAGCTCGATACACAATAATTTACACAGGGTCAAATAAAGCCTTTTTTTCAGGAATGCAGTTCTGTCTGGTTTTAATACATATTTGTTAAGTGGTTAGTGAAGTTATCCTGATGGTGTTCTGGCCGCTAACATATTCAAAGTGTGATGGTTTGAATTCCCTTTTTTCAGACCTATGTACCTATTTACCTATGTATTATTTGACTTAGACCAAATTAAATTTTTATTTTTATGCTGATTTATACTTGTTTTTATGATGTATGACAATTACTTAGCAGCAGTTGGCAAGAATCTAGTGTAGCCTTGAATGCTGGAGTTGTATCTTCTATAAGCTACTTCTCTTTCTGCATCAGGCTGCTAGGTGACCGGTTCTTCCAAAGTACCATAGATTCATTGCAAATTGCCACATTTAATAACTGACTATCTAATTTTGCTTGAGTTTTTCATGATACACTATAGTGTTGTCAGTTTTGTAGAGATAATTTAAAAAAAAATAGTAATTTTGGGACAGGTGAATTTTGAGCCTTCTGGTAAATGGCTGAAGATGGCTTCAAAGTTCCATTTTTTAAAAAATTCCAGTTGGAAAACTAAGCAGACTTTTTTTTTAATAGATAATCTGAAGAAGTTCCAAATTAATGTCAGCTGTAGATTTAAGAGTATTTGAAATTATAGTGTTATAAACATTTTTAGAATTTATGGCAAGTTCTTTATTTTAAAACGTGTTTGTTTTCTTTTAGCTGGAAGAAACTAATAACACATTAACCAAAGACGTTGATTTAATAACAAAGGAGAATTCAGAGATCAGTGAAAAAATTAAGAAACAGGAGGAAGGTATGTCATGTTTGGAGTTTTAATTAATCTGTTCTGAAGCACAAATGAATCTGAAGTGTATGTGGCAAAATGGAAATGAGAGAAGACATTGCTGTTTCTCTTCTCTATTACTTTGGGCTTGATGAAAAATAAGTCATTGTTTAAATCTTGAAAATATATCTTCCATGTAAATGGCTTGTCTTTCTATTGTGTTGCTTTTATTTCTGTGGACTGCTTTTATCATTGAAATGATTAAAATCTCAACTGTAGCAGGTACGGTGGGTTTCTGCAAGTGATCACTAAGTTCCTGCAGGCACAGTCAAGAATGTCTGTCCAGGATCACTCATCCATATATATTGTCTGTCTAATCCCTGTCTGCCATCCATGCCTTTGTGTTGCACGAAGGTTATTAAGGAAAAGTGTTTTACTCCTTTCATATTGCACACAATGTATTTATTGAAGTTTTGGTTTCTGTCTCCAGTATTTACAGTAAAGCAGTATCAGTATTTCAACTTCCTGAAGATATCACTTAGATGCAGAATCTAAGTTGTGATCTCACACACATTAGTGGATTGACATTCTATTTACATGCATTCTGACTATATGAGAAGTTACTCTATTATTCAGTTTACTCTCCTGGTTCTGCATCTAAGTAAGCATTATAAAATCAGAATGCATGCTTTATTGTCTGTTGACTATGAGAGTAAAGTCCTTACCAGTTGTGTTGCCAATGTTGTTACAAACACTGTATAGGCAGGAAGGCATACAAAAATATTTTCCCTTAGTTCTGCATTTCTGTATTAGCTGGATTTGGATGAGTAAGCAGTTTTCAATATTTTTTAGTTCTTGCAGTTTGTTATTTTTATGTATTTGAAAATTGCTCTTTTGCTGTTCGTAGTTAGGGTGGATAAATCCTTATTATTGAAATGCATACTTCTAGAAACTTTGGGAACAAATGAGCAGACTGGAGGTGTGATAGAAAAATTGGTGGAATTGAGTAAGTGGTGGATGGGGGAACGTCATTCCTTGTTTTCTTTATGCCTGATTTTAGAATCTCTACTGAATTGAAGTCCAGTCATACCAGTCTTATTAAGTGTGGGTACTGACTTAATTTTTGGTACCTCAGAAACACTTTTGATAGTGCAGACAGGAAGGAAACAGGACGACAAATCTAGTCATCACCAGGAAACAAAAATACATAAATTTGCTTTAGTATTCCATCTTGGTGTCTTTCTGATATATCCTTCTAGTAATTTTCTGTCATTACAGTAGCATTAAACCAGTAATCTTTATCAATGTAAACTGTAGTTAGTATATTCAGTGAAACAACAGGAAAATGGTGGAAAAAAATAGATGCAATTGTAGAAGTGATTAAGCTTAGAACTTCTTACCTTGTCCTAAAATATTTCAAAGTTGAATATTATTTTAACAGAATACAAAATGAAAAAAGAGGAGGAAATCAATAACATTAGAATGCATTATGAGAAGAGCATTAACACTGAAAGAACTCTGAAGACACAGGTATAACTTTTAATGCAATTTAATACAAATAATTGCTTTGCATATCAAATGTATTTTCAGTTTATAGTTTTTGTGCAACTTAGTTGCTTTGAGAAAGTTTGTATTAACTGTGATGTATAATGTGCATTATTGATGTTTACAGTTGAAAGAGAAAGTTTTGAACTTAGAAAGTTTTGCATTAAACGTGCTTGCATATGTATTTTTTCTTATTGGTTTTCCTTTTTCTATTTCTTAACAGGCTGTCAACAAACTGGCTGAGATAATGAATCGGAAAGATTTTAAGATAGACAGGAAGAAAGCTAACATGCAAGATTTGAGGAAGAAAGAGAAGGAAAACCGAAAGCTCCAATTAGAGCTTAATCAAGAGAAAGAGAAGTTCAACCAGATGGTAGTGAAATATCAAAAGGAGCTCAATGAAATGCAAGCGGTAAAATCTTTTTTTTTTTTTTTTTTTTGGTCACATTGTGGAATTTTCTCTGAAGGAAAAATGTGCAGCTCCTAGTCTACTTGAAAAAAATTACAGGTTCTGCTCCAGATGTTCTAGGCTACAAAATTTTAATGAGGCAGAGAACTTGATAACTGTGCAGCTGTGCTTGTTCTCATTAATTCCCCCTTCCCAAATTCTTAACTGTGAAGTTATTAATATATTAGGAAGACTTAAAACTGAATACTGTGTAAGATACTATTAATTATTTGACTGTTAAGTGATCTCCCTTTCAAACCAAGCAATAATTAATAATCAGACTGTTGGGTACTTAAATACATTGCTGGATCTTTGATACTTAACTCCTTCCCAAGGCTATAATAATTTACGTTAATGCTATCAAAAGTATCTAGAGATAATAAAAAAAAGTACTGAGTTTTGTTTTCAGAATATTCTGCTGCCCTATCTTTGGTATCACAATAACTATGCATGTGTATATAAATACAGCAACTAGCAGAAGAATCTACATACAGGAATGAGCTCCAGATGCAGCTGGATAGTAAAGAGAGTGACATAGAACAACTACGAAGGAAAATTTTGGACCTGCAGCAAGGAATGGATTCTACCAGTGTTGCTAGTCTCCAGCCAGATGAAACAGATGGAAATCTTTCAGGTAAGAGGAAAGGATATTTGAACTACTTGATTTTGTGCATACACATAGTTTTGGAAGGTATTGTTTCAAACAAGTTACTACCTTTTAAAATCATATGGCTGTCTCTTTCTATATCACGTCCACTTCCGTTTTTTTTGTTATTTTTATGTTGTAGCTTACCTGCTTATGTTTAAGTCTTAATTTCTTATCACGTCACTCCTCCCACTGAATGGCGTGGCATTAGCCTAATTTTCATCCACTTCTGTGGAAAGAGTATCCTTACATCTGCTGCTGTTTGAGCATAGTGTATGCAACGTGCAGTGTCTAGGTAATAGAAATAATATAGGGCCAACCCTTCCACAATATCATGTTTGTATTTTATATCTTGAATGCAAAGTTGCCTTGATCTTGTCTGTTCTTACCATCATGTATCACCTTTATGACAAATGACATAATTGCCAATGTGAAAAATAATTGTAGGAATTTCCCAAATGCGTTTATGGTTGTAGGGTACTCAGATTTAGCAGATGAAAATAAGAACATATAGTACAGTGTAGTGAGCCATTTCCATATGGTGTCAGTTCCAGGCACTGCATTTTGAAACGTACTGTTAACACTGGTTAGTGATTCCTCCCTCTCCAGTGTTTCAAGAGTTTAATCAGTACTGTCACATGATTGACTTCTGTATCGTTAAATATAGGAAGAAAATTTTAGTGGTAAAATGCTGTGCTTAACCATTTCCATATGTTGGCACTAGGTTATTTTTTTTATATAATTAGGTAGTTATTATTAATTGTGACATTCTTAATAAACACTTGTCTGATTTTTATTGTAGAAAAATATATTCAGGTATACAAAAATAGAATACCATGTTGGTATTTTAAGACCTCAGTGGATGAGCAGTTAGATAAAAATAAATAGAATCACTTTAGGTGTCTCTTTTCCTGTTAATGCACTTCATGCTGCTCAGATTGCCACATTCTAGAGTATTCCCAGGGATCTTAGAGTGCACTCAGGTAGGTTACAAGACTTCGTATATGTTTTTGTGTAGTTACTCCTCTCTGTGTCTTATTTTTGTGTACTGTCTTCCCCTAGCATATTTTTAGATTTCCTTTTTAGGTAGTATATAAATTAGTTATCTTATAGAATAGATTTTCATTCAGATAATGTTGTATCCTTTTCTTCACAATTTCCATTCTGCCCAAGAAGCCTTTTGCACTCCAAAGTTTGATCTGTAAACCCTCAGGCATTTGCCATCTTGTAAAGTAAATATCACTTTTTCTTTTTTCAAAAAGATCTGGGCCAAGGTTATCATAGAATCATTAAAGTTGGAAAAGACCTCTTAAGATCATCAAGTCCAACCATCAACCCAGTACCACCATGCTAACTAAACCATGTCCTGTTACTTCCGCACATTTTTTGAAACTTGGGATAGAAAATTCTTAGAGCTATTAGATTGATGAAGAAACTTTATTTTTTCAGCTGTCACCTGCTAGGAACTGCTTCTGGTGTTTCTGAATTGGCAGTACTTCTCAGGACCTTTCTTTTAGATACTAATTCTCAGTGTATTCCAATGAGTGGGGGTAAAAAAGAAACCGGAGGACTTTTACCTACTAAAGTGTTTTCTTCTTCCTCTAAAATTACTATTTGGAATCAGGCCTTGTTTTTTAACTGTCTCCTAAATAAAGGATGCTATAGTTTGTATTTTTTAACTTAGTTTCTGAATTCTTGTAAATTGAGAGCTTAAATTTTTCTACAAGCAAAGAGACTACATTTATTCTACAGAAAAGTGTAGTTTTGAACTTCCACATTTTCCTTCTCAGCCATTTTCATAGAATCATGTAATTGCAGTCATAGAGACTTCAAGAATAATCTGGTCTAGCCTTTCTTGGAAAAAGCACCATCTAGAGAAGACAGCCCAACAAACCTGTCCAGCTGAATCTTAAAAGTGTCCAATGTTGAGGAATCCACCACTTCCCTGGGGAAATTATTCCAGTGCTAGTTTGTTCTCATTGTGAAAAATTTTCCTCTGGTGTCCAATTGGAATCTCTCCAGGATTAACTTGCACTCATCACCCCATATCTTTTCCATGTGGCTCCTTGTAAAAACTGGAACATGGTGGTGAGGTCTCCCCTAAGCCTTCTTTTCTCAAGTCTGAGCAAAGCCATTTCTCAGAGTCTTTTCTCATGCAGCAGGTTTCCCCATCCTTTCATCATCTTCATGGCTCTCCACTGGACCCTCTCCAGCCTGTATCCACATCTTTTTCGTATTGTGGGCACCGAAACTGAACACTGTGTTCCAGGTGTGGCCTGACAAGCACTGAACTCAGTAGGAGAATGACTTATGTCTGCTGGTGATGCCCTTGTCGATGAAACCAGCATACTGTTGGCTGTCTTTGCCACAGCAGCACACTGTTTACTCATATTGAGCTTGTGTTCCACCAGGACTCCCAGGTGCCTTTCACAAAGCTGCTTTTCAGCCAGGTAGATCCCAGTCTGTGCTGCAGTCCTGGATTACATTTTACCAGGTGCAAGACATGACACTTATTCTTGTTGAATTTCATAAGGTTCCTGTTAGCCCACTCTTCCAGCTTAGCCAGGTCTTCCTGCAGGGCAGCTCTACCTTCTGAAGTGTCTGCTTCCCCACTCAGTTTGGCATCATCAGCAAACTTCATCAGGGTGCATTTGATCCCATTACTCAGATCACTTACGAAGATACTGAATAGTGTTGGGTCCAATAGCAGTCTTTGAGGGACAGCATTATTTTCAGCAAAATGGCTTTTGTGTGTTATACTGAAAACTCCATCTGGGCATAGGCACCTTCCCTGTTTTCTTCTTAAGCATAGTAGTATATCAGTATGACCCTGTTGTGTCTTAGGTCTTGGAAAGACTGTAGGATAAAGCTCTTTCTTTTCTTCATTAAGGTAAGTTATTTTCAGTTTTACCAGTGGAGACATGTGTAAGTCAGGCTTCTGGCTGTATGATCTGCTGCTTCAATTTTGGGAGACAGAAATTCTGGTGTGTGAAGATCTTTTCAAATCAGCTGTTATTTTTTCTATTGTTAATTAGAACATCATGATTACTGGAAGTTCTTTTGGTCTTCCTCTTTGTCTTCTATTTTCATGACCTCTCTTAACTATTTCTTTTTCACCAGCCTCTTATTTTTCTTGTCTTCTTTTTTGCCCTTTTCTCTACACACGGCTCTGATTTTTACTGCAGTTGTGCTGCTGGTGTTACTCTGTCATACAGGTAGGGCCTCTAATACATTCTATCAGGACTTTTCTATGCTTAGAGCATGTCCATGAATGCTGCTTTTTTGAGAGAGAGGCTCTGAGTTGATCTGGATCTTAATATAGGTAATTAAGAGAGATTAAGTGACATTGGTATAGTCAGATTTCACATGTTTGTCAAAGAGCCAAGTAGAGGGCAAAGAAGGAGTGCACTAGCATTGTAAGGAGGGAAAAAACAAAGCCAGTCTTCAAAGTAGAAATATCCCATTCCACAGAAAGAGGAAATTATGCAGCACATACTTATTCTTCTGCAAACCAAGTAATTAGTCTTTAAAACAGAAGGTGGCATACCACAGCAGTTCATTTGCTACAATTTAATTGTGTGAAGTTGTTTCTCTTCAGGTGGATGCTAGGTTCCCATCACTTCTACAGCCGAAACAGACATTCCTTCAGAACATCTTGAATAGTATCTTGTTAAGAAGTGTTTCTGATGAATAATCAATAGGATTCTCTAGATGATGCATAAAAAAGATTTAAGGCAAATAAGTGGTAGAATTATTGAATATTTATAATATGATTTATTCAGTTTCCTATCACAATAAAAACATCACTGCAAAATAATTTAAACTTGTATAAAATAATGATTCCATGGTCACAACTTTGGCCATTTGGGAAGTCTCTGGTTTAATTGAGAAGAAACTTGGTATGAAACAGTGTCACAGTAATGTTGGTGGAATTCCAGAGAGACCCCTGGTTCAGAGGCATTTTCCATTGTGTTCCTGTATGCCAGAGAGGTTCAAGATACGGAGTAGTGTCTAGTCTAATCAGGTAGCTTAGGTTCACCAGCCACTGCACAGTAGAATTCTTCAGGAAGAGCATCTTGTAAAATTTTGGGGTCAGAAAGTTTTGTACTCTTTTTCACTAAAATCAAGGTAATACTGAAATGGATTCGTAATACTGAGAAAAAAATAAGAAAAAATGTTCTGTATTTAAAGGTAGATACAGAGAATTCACATGGTAACACACCTTACAGCTGCATCTTATGTGGAAGTGTTTTCTGTTTGTTGTTGAGCTAAATACCCCCTCAAGTTTTAGTAGCTTCCAGGGCATTTTATATGCTGCTCCCAAGGTACAGATTGACTTGTTTAGACAATCCAGGCTATTTTCAGGCTTTTACTTCACCAGATGGGAAAGATCACGACTTGGAGGAAGATTTTCCTGGTGTTCAGCTCTAGGCATTTTTTGTAACTCTCACTGCTGATTATTGATCATTGATTCAGATAGCGGCTCATGTCTCAGTTGATGTCTCCAATGTTAATAGAGTTCTTGTTGATATATGAATACTAACCATGGTGATGTTTGTAATGCAAATCCACATTTTAATATATATTCAGAGATAATGATAAGATCTGTAGCCTTCATGGAATTCTTTCTTCATATTCTATTCAGGTCCAGCTAGCCATAAGATATTTTTGAGGCCTATCTTGGATTTTCCAGATGAGAAATACAAAGTATCAATTCTGGGATTCTTTCCAAAATACAGGGAAATTCTCAGGCAATAGTTTTGAGCCTGTTTTTATAGAAAGAAATGGAATATTCCTTTTTATAGTCCAGATAGCCCATATTTTCTTAATTACTTAATCAGAACACTCATAAATATTATTCTTCTGGATCAAATATTTGTGAAATGGCCAGATGAGCATTTTTAGTTGTGCTAGCTGAATCTGTCAAGGGAAATAAATATTACTATATTTATAGCACTATAAATATTACTTCAGACAAACCTTTGTGGCAAGGTTGGAATGAAAGGGCTCATCAGCCCTTTCAAGAGCCCATTTAGTTCTAGACAAATGCTAGGTTTGTTGAAAAGGAGTACATTCAGAAACTTATTTTCAACTGCAAGATGTTATTCACAGATCAGAAATAATATCTCATGCAAATAGAATTTCCTCAGCAAAATAGATTTGTAGTAGACAGAAAATATTGTCAGCCAATTAATTTGTAACAGCTCATCCACCTTCTGCAGTCTTTTAAGTTTTTTTCAGAACATGCTGAAATAGAAGTGAACTTAGAAAAACTTCTATTCACACTTTCCCTATAAGCAGCATGTGTAATTAGACCTTTCTGGATTTTCCTATGTCACAATTTCCACAGGTGCTTACTTATTCCTTATTCTTACTTATTTAGTCCATACTACTGTATTCCTTTTTAATTGCAGTTGTCCATACTGTGCTCTTTATTAGCAGTTAATAATTTTATTTTGCAATAGAAGACTTACATTTTTGGGATATTTCTAAAATTTCTAAAAATGGAAGAATCTTTTCTGGATTAGAAAATTAATTGAAGTATTCAAAATAGGGTAAGGTTCATCTGTGATGCCTGCAGACATGAAGGAAATAGGTTTCCTATTCCAACGTTACTGAATACAAAGAATTGGAGAGAGGTCTGGGGGGACAATATTTTTTATATTTTTAGTATTTTTCTATGTATTTTCAGAGCTTGTTGGGCTACATCTCACAGAGAGTTATTCCTTGAGGATAAAAGAGGCCAGTACCTCCTTCTTATATAAATATTTGTGGAGATAGTTTCAGCAAATTTTAGCTTAATATTTTTTTCATTTTTCAGTACTGCCAGTTAAGCTTATTGTAAAGAATGCCTACATTAACTAAATATAGCTATTGGCTATATTTCTGTACCCTTAACAAGTTTTTTTACAAATAAAATGTTTATGGTAACTTTAAAAATGACAATTTTTCTCAATTGTGAAATAGATTTATAATTATGGAGTGACATTTTGATTGCTTCATTCTCACATTTACAAAATTGTGAGATTACTGTGTTATTTCAGATTAATGGAATCAAGACAGCTTCTCAGTACTAGGCTTCATAATTTTAAAATTATCTATCAAAAACTGGTCTCAACTGGAGGGGTTTCTCCTTAAACCTGTGGTTCATGTTACGCTTCTTTGTATCATTGTTAAATTATTGTAGTAGTCTTGTGGTAGGAGAATACATTTTTACACTACTCTTTGGAAAACGAAATTTTTAATAAAATTCTTGTCTCTTATTCTTTATATCTAGTTGATTCTTCCTGCATTCCTTATTTATTTATCTCCTATGCTTATCTTCTGTGAGTAATGGGACACCCGTGTAGCTTTGCTTGCTGTTGTGCGCTCTCCCTGGTTTTTTGTTTCCCTTGGAAAGTGTGGATGTCATTTGTTTTACTTGCTGCATCTTCCTCCTGATTATTTTTGTATAGCCCTTCTGAATGTTCAATTCTGTTTATATTGAAAATCTCTTAATTATCCTCTGTTCCAAGTTGTAACACATTTTCAAAGTGAAGTCTTTCCTGCCTGGCTCTTTGCAAACTATTTGCATACAATGTTAAATATTGGCATCAAGGAAAACAGCTTCATGGTATCATGAAAACAGCAGTAACTGTATCATCAAGTGTTAGCTTGTGATGAAGCATGAAGTAAATGCTCATATCTTCATGTTATTTAGCTGTGCTTTTCATTCTGCTTTGCTGAATAGGTAATTGCCTATTACTGCATGTAGTACATCTTCCTTCCCAGTAATAGCTTGCTTTTGTGCTTTATTATAAAGAAATTAAATTATTTAATATGATTTATTTTTTTTAAACCAGAATCAAGACTTGAAGGTTGGCTTTCAATACCAAACAAAGGAAATATCAAGCGGCATGGTTGGAAGAAACAGGTACCAATGGATTTTTTTTTTTTTTTTCTTCCTCAACTCCCTTGGAAAGTTTGTTAGACATACAGTGAATAGGTTTTGCAGCTGATATTTAGGAAACAAACAAATTAGAGTGAATTAGTATGTATACATAACTTTATTGAAGATGGGAAAAAACCAAAAAAACAATAAAAAAAACAAGTTCAGTATGAAAACTTGTAACATTGTGCAAATTTACAACAGGTGAGTGAGGAAATGCTTTACAATGGACATCTTGGAATCATTAGAAAGCTTATTCTCCTTTAAGCAAGCTTCTTTATAATCCTGTTACTGAAAAATAAGCTCTTTGTCCAACTTGACAGCACAGAGGGTATACCACACATGTTCTGAAAGCCGTGGAAGAGTGCATCACACTATAATTTGCCACACCTGATTTCCAAGGATATTTCTGTCTCCCTTACTTTTAAAATGGGCAATGTCTCTTGAAAATAACTCGTTTACTTTCAGAAACTGGACCTCTGTCCTAGAAGTCCCACTCTAAACAAAACAGTATTGTTTTACCTTTGCAGAGATTATGATCTGGTTCTTTGAAACTTCAAACGTTCAAATTGAGATGCTTAGAAGCTTAGAACCAGCTAATGATTATATTTTCTGGCTTTCCAGTTTGTCTTCTTTGGACATCATTTAGTGTAACAAATTGCGAAGGTGAACATGGTTACTAGAATTTTGTGCAGTTTGTATGAAATAGTTACGTTGAATGTGTAATGAAAAAAATAGCGATTTCCAATACTGGTCTTTGAATTTAAGTAAGGAATATGAAAAGAAATAAACTGCTGCTGAAATATCCTTCTCAGAGGCTTCTGTTTCATGTTCACATTATATAAATGTTAGAAGTGGTTCCTACAAAATTTAAAGGAGAACAATTTAACTCCTGTGAAAAAAGTCCTGAAGTATTTGTATTGGGCCCTTACTTGCTGTACTGTTTTTCAGTTGACTAACATGACCTTCTTTATAAAATTGAAGTGTTTTGATTTCTAGACCTGCCTTCTTGGTGATGTGCCTGCAAGTTAAAACCCCCACCTATTCTAGCTTTAAAGAGTGTGTGTTAAGCTCTGCCCTGTTTCAACTAGTGATTCTCAGATGAGAGGCAGTGCAAACAAGTGCTGTGTTGAAATTGCTTGCTTACCACAGTTGGAACTTGGAGTTTGCAACAGATATCTCAAATGCTTTTCAGTTGTTTTCTGGTCTCTTTGCATTTCAATTTTCTCACTATTAGCAGAACTGCAGGGGAACCTTAAAGGCGAGGCCAAGAATGTTCTTGGTGCCATATTTGAGTCAAATGCCACAAGTGTTTGAATGTCCTTCAGGTGTCTCACAAAACACCTATTTCTAAATCTGTTCCACAACTTGTTCTGTTTGATAGCTAAGGCTGCTTGGCTTCTGTTGATCCAGAATTGATTCTTCAGGTTGCTGTCAGACTTCTGGCAGTGTCAATGAACAGAAAAGACTGTGCCTAGGCATGAGTCATGTAGCTTTACTCTGCTCTGGATTATCTAAAATAACGCATTTTCCTGTCAGATCAGTCCCTAAGGTTCTGTGATTCTCTTGATTTCTGACTCAAGTATCGGTAGCAATGGTGTTTTTGCCCCATGCCCTCCAAGACATATGGCTTAAGTTAGAAAGTAATCGGTGTGAAAACTCAATTGAGAAGGAACAGCTGAGATAAACCTCAAGCTAATACTAAAATGGGTTAGCCATATTTTTATCTGGAACTTCATTTCATCCCAAGTGGAGATTATAAAAATACCCTTCAAAAACTGCTGTAGCACAGAACTACTGTTAGGAGGTTTTTCTGGGGATTCACAACAGGATATGGAGCCTGTTGTACATAAAACTTTTGTGAAGTTGAATCATTCTTGCGTACAGGGTGATAACTGAATTTCATTGCAGTCAGAATTTGCATTTGTTGTAGTAGTCATATTAAAGCCTTGCTATTGTCTGTGAAAGGCAGAGGTGCATACTTCAAAGACAAGGAAGGCATTAGCTTTCTGTTGGCGCAGATCAAAGGAATTCAAGCAGAGACTCTGGATTCAGTGGGGAAAATCACAAGAGTCTCACACCCTTACAAGTTTGTACTGATTCACATTGATCAGGCTTTCTATTAAAGAAACCTCACTGAGGGGCTGAAAGCTCTTTTAGTCAGGGGTGGGGAAACACCTTTTTTGGCTTTTTTAGGTGTATTTCAGTAATCAAGATGTACAACTGTAGCACGCAGCTTACACAACACATTTTTAAAAGGCTATTCTGGAAACTTGTTAGGGTAACTTTCATATTCGGGTTTTGCAGTCAGACTTGAAGTCCTGTTTAAGGAGGAGGCTTAAGCTCTTGTAGGAGGATGAGACACCATTTACTTAAATTTTCATTATCTGCGTTGTGCAGACACCCATTCAATTACCTACCAGTAACTGGAATTCGAGATGAACTGTTTGTGTATTCACTCTCTTACCTTTCTGTCCTTTCCTCTGCTCCTGGGTCATATTATACCTGAATCAGTCAGTTATCTCTTTTTATCCTCTGTAGTACCTTGTACCTTTTAATACATTGTTTCTAAAACATTTGAAACTGCAGGGAAGGGAACTGCCACAGCTGTCACTGAGCTTATGCTTATGGCCAGGGTTAGCCAAGACATTGGACTGGCAGCTCCCAGTGAAGAGCAACAGGCAGTGAATTCTAAAAGCCTGAACTCATTGGGAAGTGCTTAGGTTAGAGGTGTTTGATCTTGACTGGCCTCTGGGTTACAATTTTTTTTGTCTGAGCAGCATACTTTGTTTATCTCTCATATGAACAAATTATAATTCTGTGTGATTGTGAGCAGCAGAGTACTTTAGTGTCTCTGTACTTTAGGTTGAGGATCCTTAGTCTTTTTTGGGGTGGCAGGGTGAACACTGCAGGCATATTCTGCATTTGGGCATTGTCTTGAAAGTGAGGCCTGCAGTCTGCTACTCATAGTACCTTCCCAGTAGGTCTTGCTTACGCCTCAGAATCACATGTGTTCAGGAGCACTCCACTTTTTTCAGTGGCATGGGTAGAGTGTAATGTATTAATCTGCAGATTTTAAGCAAGAACTTTTTAAACACTCAGGGGAAAAAAACCTAATCAAATATTTCTGTTCCTTAACATCTTTGCCACTCTGCAAAAAAACTGTGGTTTGACCTTTAAAGTGAAACATAGCAAAAGAATGTCCTTTTTTTCTCTCTTCTGCAAACCTTTCTGTTACTGTCTCAGTGTATTCCTAGATTTGGAATGTGTACTGCTGATTCATTTTGGCTCTTTATTTAAATTGAAAGTGTAGGAAATAATTAACTAGAGCTTTGAAAATCTCTTTTAGCGTACCAGTAGTTTGGTGCAAAGTACCAATGAGTCCTGCAGGTCTCTATAACTAGAGAAGTTGTTTACAACTTTATCAATAAGTGATAGATTCTGCACTCCAGGAGTTTCTCAGTTATATGGTAATTTTCATAGTAACATGCCAATAGCAACTGAAATTGGTGAGTTTGTGTACAGATAGGTTTCCAGAGTCATCACAAGCATTTTAGGGTGCTCCAGTGACAATACACAGTCATAGCAGCTTGTAGCATTGCACAGCTGTCAGTAGTATAACTGCCTGCATTGTGATTTAAATACTCCTGATATTAGTTTAAAAACTTAATTTACTTAGGTTTCTTATGTGCATAAGTACAGTAGGATAAACATTGCTTCTTAAAATGCAGTTTTAACCTGGTTTTACCCTTTCTTTCCCCAGTATGTTGTGGTGAGCAGTAAAAAGATACTGTTCTACAATGATGAAAAGGATAAGGACCAGTCCAATCCATCCATGGTCCTAGATATAGAGTAAGTAAAGTTATTGTTAGTTTTGGGCACAAGTTGGAAAAAAAGCATTGTGTGAGACATAACTGATAACAAATCTAGAAGCTTGAGGTACAGATTCCTTAAATAACTTTTAATTTCCCATGCTAGTTGGAAAATGCCTGATTATTTCAGTTTGCTGTTAACAGATGATACTACTATTTGTCCTACTATTGCTAAAAGTTAGAGAAAAAGTTAAACACACAATAGTGTGGCACCATCTGTTATCACTGGTGTGAATTTACAGAAATTAAGTGCCTTGTCACGTTAGGACAGAGAAGGGACAGAGACAGTGGAACCTAGGTATTATGCTGTCGCTTTTTATGATTCAGTGTAATGACTGTTTTTTCCAGTTGCTTCAACAGCTGCTTTCTAAAGAAGGGCATAATAGTTGTGGGATAGAGAACTGACTGTATAATTTCAGGTCTTATCCTCTTGCTTCATACCTTTTTCTTTCTGTCTGAGAAAGGATCAGTGTTGATCAAGCTTTTCCAGGTAGTTTCTGTTTAGAGTGACAAAATAAATTAATTGTGATCCCTTTACATTGGTTATACATGAGGAAAATAGTGTCAAGAATAACTGAAGCCCATCACTGGTACATGACAGAGTGTGATGTTTGAACAGCTGATCAACATTATGGGACCTTATAGAGGAGTAATTGAAAAAAGATTTTAAAAGTCATGAATAGGTCTATCGGTGACTAAAAAATACAGTGGTCTGGAAGGAATCTCAAACTCAGGAAGTGCTTAAGCTGCCAATTGCTCATAAGCAGGAAAAGAGTTATTTTCTCTTTGAGCTGTTTCTTATTCTCTTTTTATAAACATCTGTTACGGCAACTGTTGAAAACAGGATGTTGGGATAGATGGACTTAGAGTCTTGACGCAGTGTAAGATGGTGTTTGTTCCAATTTTAATAGCATTTTCAACAGCTGGTGCCCCAGATTTCCTTCTGTGATGTTCTGGCATTGACTGTTTTATCAACTGATAGTAAAAACATAAGAGCAGTAGATTTAGTATAGTTATTTCTATCCAGGGTTATCAACAAGCTTTCCTAGCAAATAATCTGTTAGACTCCCCAGTGGTCTGAAGAAGAATTTGAAAGCCTTTTCCACAGGTAAATTTGCCATGTTGGATCTTGAACCCATTGCAAGGTAACTGTTCCCATGCAATGAAGTAATTTGGTCTTACTTGGGTAGACAAGTTCTAGATGGTTTATGAATTAATTCCTAAAATCATATTGCAGCCATGAAGTATATTGTATTGCTTGCATAAATAAGATTTATTAGAACTTCAAAGCACTTTAATAGCTGTTTTAAAAGCATACATAGCCTTTTAGCATTTTCTGATTCATGTTTCTTCTAATCTAGTAAACTGTTTCATGTCCGGCCTGTAACTCAAGGAGATGTATATAGAGCTGAAACTGAAGAAATTCCGAAGATATTCCAGGTAAAAGGAAGTGTATTCTCATTTCTGTTTAACTCTTGAAAAAGTTGGGCACTTTCTTTGCAAAGTGAATAATAACCTGTAGAGCGTCAACAGTAACAGCAGTATTCCTTTTCAGATTCTCTATGCTAATGAGGGGGAATGCAGGAAGGATTTGGAGGTAGAAGCAGTACAGCCGACAGAGAAGACAAATTTTCTAAATCACAAAGGCCATGAATTTATTCCAACGTTATACCACTTTCCAGCCAACTGTGAGGCCTGTGCCAAACCTCTTTGGCATGTCTTTAAACCCCCTGCTGCCCTAGAATGTCGAAGATGCCATGTGAAGTGCCATAGAGACCACTTGGATAAAAAGGAGGAATTAATTGCACCATGCAAAGGTATACTCATGGCTTTTTGTGTCCTGTGTGCTTGTGTGCTTAGCCAGACCTGCAAAACTATTGAAGGCAAATAAACACACTTCAGTTTAAAAGTTTTCTGCTCTTCAAGTTTAGTAGCACCTTTCACATCTAAAATCATAAAATAATAGACTGTTAACACTGCTTATGAATAAGCAGCTGTGACAAGCCTCTGTAGGGAGGCCTTTGGTGCTGTAACTGATGTGGCTCTGCGGAGGGCTTCTAAAGCACAAGGGTCCCTAGAGGTTTATGCCCAAATAGTTGGCACTTCCTTGCTTCCCATTCTCTCACACATGGCTCACATTAGGGACAGTGCAGTGACAGCATCACCAAGCTGTTCTAAGACCTTTGAGGAGTGATTCTTCAGCCACTTGACAAATTGGAATAAAGGTTTCCTCTCTCTGTACCTGTGGAGTATTTGGGGTATGTACTCTGGAATTTAGCCATAAGGCACCCACACAACTTTCCAGATTATTAAAAATGAAATTGATGTAATTTTTCTTATTTCTTGGAATATTCATGTTAGTCAAGAGCGGCAAATGTAGAAAGAAAATATATTCATAATTTCTCCTGCTGTTTGTTGTCTTCCAACAATTCCAATACAAGTATGTATACAGGCACCATTGTTCTTTCCAGTGACACACCTGGTATGTCATAATTCTTATTCTGATAACAAGTCCTAGTTTTCACTGAATCATCTTTCTACTTTTACTTACAGTGAGTTACGATGTAACTTCAGCAAGAGATATGTTGTTATTGGCATCCTGTCAAGATGAACAGAAGAAGTGGGTGACTCATTTAGTAAAGAAGATCCCTAAGACACCACCATCTACTTTTGTTCGTGCTTCTCCTAGAACTCTATCTACAAGATCATCAGCAAATCAGTCGTTCCGAAAAGTTGTTAAAAATACTTCTGGAAAAACTAGGTGAGATACTACGAAAGCTGCAGATCTTTTTAGTTAAGAAGAAAATCTCTGTTTATAAATCTTACTTATTGTGAAATAATTCCATAGTTATGACTGTTGAACTGCTGGTCTAAATCTTTCCTTCAATCCTGAAGGAAGGGACAGAATTCTCATGCTGTTCTGGTAAATTCATCAGTTTTTGGTATTTGTAAAGGTGCTGTAGAGATGGCGGTGCCTGGTGTGCCCATGTATGTGAGGGAGCTGTTTGCATTTTTTCCTGTTTAAAGGCAAGGCTCAGTAGATACATCAGCAATGGTATTTAACTGCAAGGATGATCCATGTAGTCATTCATTGATTGACTCATAGAGCTTGTGTGATAGGTCTTTTGCAAATGGGGGTGAAATGGGAAACTTAGAGATTCTCAGTGGTGTGAGGCAACTTAAGTATTAATACATTCTTTCTCCCTGCTTGCTCCTTCCCTGTCTTTTCTTATCCAAGCAGTTGTTTTTGTAAACGACTTGTGACTCTGTGCATTCACCAGAGCAAGATTCAAAATATGCTTTTTTTTTTTAATACTAGGTTACTGTGAGCTGCATTTAACTTGCATTAGCTTCCTCGTACCGTGTGTTCCTTTCCCCCAAAATAACAAATTTGGTCAACAGTATGAAGTGGAAACTAGTGTTTGAGTAGGCAAAGAGCCTCCCTAGATTGTCAGTGCTACCAAAATAAGTGTGCTGCAAACATTCCTTGTATGAAGCACAATAAAAACAAACCTTTGCCTGTGAATATATATATATATATTATATATATCCCCTCCCACTGAGGAGAGTAGGGAAGAAAATCTGAAATACAAAAGGTGCTGTATTTTGTTGTTTCTGTAATTAACACTAAAACGTAAGTGATCATGGTTTTGAGATGCTGATAATATTCAATGAAGGCCCTCAAGTATCAACATGCTGTACTAACCAGGTTTTCTTTTAAGTCTGTTGCACATTCATTTTCCAATTTTTGGAAAAGTCTTCTTCAGATGAGCAATATTGCAGTTACTGTAATATACCTCATGCTAGGGTGTGAAGGGGGAATTTACATGTGCTTGCAGACACAGAATTAAGAAAAAAAGGGGATGGAGGTTACTACAGGCAAAACAGCTCTGGTATTCAGGTGTCTAATAGCTGTTAGTTTTTCAATAGATTTTTATTTTTCTTCCATCATAATAACACGATTTCTAAGGTTTTAAATTTCAAGATCTTAACTTTTTTCCAGGTGTTTTTTTGGAAAAGCACAGAAACTTTCATCCACATGTTTTTATGGGAGCAAAATAATGTTCTTAATTTATTCTTTTTCACTCTGTCTTAATAGAAATGCTTGGTGAGGTTGCCTTTAGCAAGAACAAGTTTGTAGCTAATCTCTTACAGAATGAAAAGATTTGCATATTTGAAAATTTACAGTAGCTCTTATAGGAATGAGTCTGGGGAGATCAGTTATTCAGAAACTTTCTGTTATTAATCCTGTTGGTATTTGTCAAGTGAGAGTGTTAGAGAATAATAGAAATACATAAGTAGTGAATGGGAACTTTTTTAAAAAATGAGAAACACTGTCTTTAAAGCTTTTGCTTTTTTTTTTAAGATCCTAGAGATAACAGTGAGCTCAGTATCTCCTCAGAAC